GCGGACACAGGAACAGAAGTCTTCCAGCAGTGACAGTACCATCATACCTCCATCACATGCAGCAGCGCTCCAGCTACCACCGCACTCTGCTTTCAATACCGGTGGATGTACCTCCACAGCTGTATCACACGCAACAGCGCTCCAGGTACCACCACACTCTGCTTTCAATACCGGTGGCCCTGAAGGCGCTCCACACGTGCGTTACGACACCACAAATGTCCGGGATCATGGCACAAACGATCACGCATCCGAACGTCTCGCAACACGCGACCTTGCCAGCTGTAGCCCGGGTCAAAACCAGCTTTGCAGTAGCACAGATGCCACAGATCATACAACACACACAATGAGTTCAGCCGGAATAGCTACTGGATCGGCTCATACATCCATAACAAGCCAACGCCATAGCAACGCAATGGGAGTGTCCAGCAGTGGTCTCCGTGGATTAGACCGTACAACATACACAATGAGTGCAGCCGGGGTAGCTACTGGATCACCGCATACACTGGACACCAGAAGCTCAGCCGAGGTAGCTACCGGATCAGCGCATACACTGGACAAGAGCAGCTCAGCCAGGGTAGCTATTGGATCGGCTGCTATTGCCACCAGGACTGGAAGAAAAGTTGTGCTCCGGAAAACTCAGGAAAACCCATTATTAATACATGCTTCCAGTGGGGACAGTATTGACCTTGCGCACCCTATTCGCCGCCAGCCCAGTCCAGTGGTGACTGCTAACCGCTCAGAGAGCACACCAGTGATAAGTGATCCGCCACAGAGTGCGCTGTCTGCTTCCAATAATGGAATAGCTACTGGATCGGCTCATACACCCATAACAAGCCAACATCATATCAACGCAATGGGAGTGTCCAGCGGTGATCTCGGTGAACCGGAATATACAACGGACACAAGGAGTTCAACCGGGATAGCTACCGGATCAGCGTATACAACGGACAAGGGCAGGTCAGCCGGGATAGCTACTGGATCGGCTCATACACCCATAACACACCGACATCATAGCAACACTATGAATGTGTCCAGCAGTGGTCATGGTGGATCAGACCATGCACTAGACACCAGAAGCTCAGCCGAGGTAGCTACCAGATCAGCGCATACACTGGACAGGAGCAGCTCAGCCGGGGTAACTACCGGATCGGCTGCTATTGCCACCAGGACTGGTAGAAAAGTTGTGCTCCGGAAAACTCAGGAAAACCCATTATTAATACATGCTTCCAGTGGGGACAGTATTGACCTTGCGCACCCTATTCGCCGCCAACCCAGTTCAGTCGTGACTGCTAACCACTCAGAGAGCACACCAGCAATACCAGCAACAAGTGAACCGTCACAGAGTGCGCTCTCTGCTTCCAATAATGGAATAGCTACTGGATCGGCTCATACACCCATAACAAGCCAGCACCATAGCAATACGATGAATGTTTCCAGCAGTGATCACGGTGGACCGAGCCATGCAACGGACAAAATGAGTTCAACCGGGGTAGCTACGGAATTAGCGCATACACTGGACAAGAGCAGCTCAGCCAGGGTAGCTATTGGATCAGCTGCTATCGTCACCAGGACTGGTAGCAAAGTTGTGCTCCGGAAAACTCAGGAAAACCCATTACTAATACATGCTTCCAGTGGGGACAGTATTGACCTTGCACACCCTATTCGCCGCCAGCCCAGTCCAGTGGTGACTGCTAACCGCTCAGAGAGCACACCAGTGACAAGTGATCCGTCACAGAGTGCGCTGTCTGCTTCCAATGGTGGGCCCGCGCCGCTACATAACACCGACGTCATGACACAAAACAACAGCAATGATGAAGGTTCAGCAGCAGAAGCAGTGGCAGAGCCTACCATGCAAGGTGGTTGTCTTCGTCGTCGGCAGAGTCAGGAGTCGACACGACACAGTGCAAACGCTATCGTACCACCACCATGCGGCGACACTTGTAGCACTCCCTGGCAAGCGCAGCGACTGGAGCCCTGTGTAACAACACACCACGTGCACCATCCTGCTGACACGGACACTGGTATCAGCACAACCACCAACAGCACTCCCTGGCAAGCGGAGCAACTGGAGCCATGTGTAACAACAGACCACATGCACCATCCTACTGACATTACTGGTACCAGCAACACCACCATCACTACCATCGCCAGCAGCAGCACCACAACCAACAGCAACAGCAACAGCAACACCACCAGCAGCACCATCACCACCACCAGCAACAGCAACAGCGCTGTACCTACCAGCAAGCCACTCGCCATCGCGTCAAAGCAGGCAGTTGCCGGAACATCGGTCCAGTCGACAGCGGAGAGCACGACCACCACCCAAACCAGCCCTATCACCACCAGCAACGATACACCCCACAACAACAACAACAACAACAACAACACCGCCACCACCAGCGGACCAGAGCAAACCACCAACGCACGTGAACACACAGGACAGCAGCAGCCGCAGTCGCACCACCACAGCTCAGAATCGGCCCGCAAGATCGCTCGGCGTCCATTCCAGGTTACTCCGAAAACCAGTCTCCTGCCGGCTAACACACCGGGCCTACCCCACTGGCGCCGTATACCGCGCTACCGCTACGCCAAGTACCTCGCTAACAATGGCAGCGACGACGCCAGCAGCTGTAGTAGCAGTCACGCTACAGCCACTGGAGAACCCTTCACCACCGTGGCGACCGAACGTGATTGGCCGAATACGGACGGAGACGTCGCAGCGGCAACGGCTGGCTATCCCGCTACGGCAAGCGCCACACAGAACATCAGCGGCAGCAGCAGCAGCAGCAGCAGCAGCAACAACAGCATCAACAGCGGCGGCAGCAACTATACGAATACTCGCAGTACTGGGCACTTTGTGGCAGCGTCCGCACGAGTGTTCAGCGTGCAACTCCACACCACCACCGCCGCCGCCGGTAGTGACCACAGCGTGGTGGACGAGAGCGAGAGAACTCCTAGAACAGGGGCCAGTCACAACACTGCTGCTAACATGGCTGACAGTCACACTCTACCCTGCCCTCCTCCAGAGAGTGAAAGAATTCCTAGAGCTGAGACCCGTCACATGGCTGATACAGCTGCCATGGCTCACAGTCCAACTCTTTCCGAGTTGCTTCCCACAGAGAATACGCAAGCTGCAGCAGCAGCAGCAGCAACAGCGAGGGGACCGTTATCGCAACGCAACCCTGTTGTCACGGCCAATCCTGATTGTCCTGGGTCACACACCATGATTACTAGCACAAGAGCAACAGCAACAGGCTATGGGCCGAATGTCAGGCCGCACACTAACGTCCTCCGTACAGTCGCTAGTACCAAGGAGAATGCGCCGTCGGCTGTAGATAAAGATGATGGTGGTAAGATGATGGGAATCACGCAGTCCTATAGTAGAATGAGCCGCTCAACTAATGTCTAGGCATCGGCGGTAGAAATAGCTTCTCACAGCATCGATCTGTCCGTTGATTGATCGCTCACCCCATCTGTCTGTCTTTGGGTCTCTTTCTCACTCTCTCTCTTTGTCTCTCTCTCTCTCTCTCACACACACACTCTCTCTCTCTCGCTCTCTCTCTCTCTCTCTCTCTCTCTCTCTCTCTCTCTCTCTCTCTCTCTCTCTCTCTCTCTCTCTCTCTCTCTCTCGCTCTCTCTCTCTCTCTCTCTCTCTCTCTCACACACACTCTCTCTCTCTCTCTCTCTCTCTCTCTCTCTCACACACACACTCTCTCTCTCACACAATCTCTCTCTCTCACACACACACACACACTCTCTCACGCACGCACACACACACAGGTGCCCGTATGCACATTTGCTCCCATTTCCACTGTCCTAGTTTGCATTGGGTTGAGAAATTTCAACCCAACAGACAGTGAACCACCCATGGTTCATTATGGTATGGGCATTCAAGGGTTTCTCCCTCTGATTCTTGATTTCTACGAAATACTCAAATTTCCATAGAATTGAACTTCACTAAAAAATCGTCCAGAAACACGGACATCTTGGATACTTTTCTTGATCTTTTTTTTCTTTTGGATTCACCTACTGGTCGCAAGTTCACTTTTTACAAAGTTTGATTTCATGCGTTTTCTATTGAAGTTTTCAAAGTTCGAAATTTCCTATTGAGTTTATTGGTATTCCCTGGTTTTCTTTGAATTTTCCTAGGATTCATTCTGTTTTTGAATTCTGATTTGGCTTCGGACAGCAATCAACAAGCTCTTAGATGAGTGAAAGCCGCTGAACGGTATATTGTTTGTTATAACTGGCACATGTATAGTCAGGCATGGTCAGGGCCTGGCACAAACGAAACTTCCCAAGCTGGTTGTGTTTCTCAACATACAGCCAGTGGTAACGCAGATGTGCAAACTTCACTTGGTTTATTATGACTAGGGCACAGCCTGCATCCAGTGATCACCTGTCTTCAGAGAACAGTGTTCTGAAACTATAGACCCAAGACCACACATCGATACACATTCAGACCTGCATCCAGTGATCACCTGTCTTTAGAGACCAGTGATCTCAGACCATACATGTATATGAACACACATTCAGACCTGTATAGAGAGGCCACCTGTCTATAGGGACCAGTGTTCTCAGATCATACATGTACACCAATACACATTCAGACCTGTATACAAAGAATCAAAGACCACCTGTGTTGAAAGACCAGCTGTCTCTGGCCCATGGGGTAGTCACAGAACACATGTTTGGCGATGGAGATAGACCATACATCAACATTCATTCTGACCTGCTCCATCTCCAGACAGCATGCTGTTTCGTCCTTTGTGGACTCGTCAGCGCAGCACAGACAAAATTAGGCCGAACCTGATAGAAATGAAAAATAAATTTTCCAAAGCCAGACTTACACCAGGCCCGAACGTACCTTGCGAAAGTGCTCAAACTGACAAGTCAGTGAGCTCTGCATAACGCAAACAGCAAAGGCACTACCCCACACGAGAGTGCTTAACTACTACAAGAGCAGGAGAGAATGCTGACCTGCGTACAAGTGACCCTACCTTTCTGCTCCATCATCTTGAGTAGACTATCGGAGGCTGTTGACGTGTTCGGAGCACTCTCATGGTCGGTGCTAGTACCATGTTCACTACTGATGCCGTCCTTCTTCTGATTGATATCATACAGAATGGTATCAGCAGTCTCCAGCGCGTCCTGTAGGGTATCGACTATGGTGCCGCTGGGACCATGCTTGATCCAGCCACTGCAATACACACCTGTGTGTGTGGGGGGGGGGGGGGGGGGGAGCAGCACAACACGATGAGAATAGGTGGTGATTGAGCAAAGACAGAAAAAATGTACGTACACACACAAACATGGGCATGAACATGCAGCAGGAACACACACACACAAACACAAATGCACATACACATACCTATACAAACGCATGCGCATGAGCGCGCACACACACAAACACACACACACACACACACACACACACACACACAGTACCACACTCACCAGGACATTGCGTTCTACCGGAGTTGTTAGGAACTACACCGCTGCGCTCATCAAACTGTAACAGCTCGTCTGACTCGGGATCAAGACCGACACCTCGATAACCGATACTGCGAAACACCTGCGCACACAAGACACACCAAAGAAGCACAGGAATAACCCAATTGCGCATTGCCAAATATGGAAGGCATGAGTAACGCATGCGAGTGCGCTAGGATCAGGGATGCGCTGTTCAACACCCCCCAGACGACCATGCCCAGGTGGCTGTTGGGGTGTTGTGTGAGTACGTTAGGATCAGCAATGCACTGTTCGACACCACACACGACCATGCCCAGGTGGCTGTGTGGGGTGTTCATGGTACAAATCACGTCATTGCGCAATGGGCAGATTCGTTAGTGGATTTCACCATCTACAGCGCAGCTCGATGAAATCCAATCAAGTGAGTCAATGCAACGCCAGGCGCTGTGCATCCCTAGACCTGAGAATACTGGAATGTGAACTGGTACAGGGCGTTGTGCATCCCTAGACCTGGGACAAACACTGGAATGTGAAATGGTGCAGGGCGTTGTGCAGCCCTAGACCTGGGACAAACACTGGGATGTGAAATGGTGCAGGGCGTTGTGCAGCCCTAGACATGGGACAAACACCGGAATGTGAACTGGTACAGGGCGTTGTGCAGCCCTAGACATGGGAAAAACACTGGAATGTGAACTGGTACAGGGCATTGTGCAGCCCTAGACATGGGACAAACAGTGGAATGTGAACTGGTACAGGGCGTTGTGCAGCCCTAGACATGGGACAAACACTGGAATGTGAACTGGTACAGGGCGTTGTGCAGCCCTAGACATGGGGAAAACACTGGAATGTGAACTGGTACAGGGCGTTGTGCAGCCCTAGACATGGGAAAAACACTGGAATGTGAACTGGTACAGGGCGTTGTGCAGCCCTAGACATGGGACAAACACTGGAATGTGAACTGGTACAGGGCGTTGTGCAGCCCTAGACATGGGAAAAACACTGGAATGTGAACTGGTACAGGGCATTGTGCAGCCCTAGACATGGGACAAACAGTGGAATGTGAACTGGTACAGGGCGTTGTGCAGCCCTAGACATGGGACAAACACTGGAATGTGAACTGGTACAGGGCGTTGTGCAGCCCTAGACATGGGAAAAACACTGGAATGTGAACTGGTACAGGGCGTTGTGCAGCCCTAGACATGGGAAAAACACTGGAATGTGAACTGGTACAGGGCGTTGTGCAGCCCTAGACATGGGACAAACACTGGAATGTGAACTGGTACAGGGCGTTGTGCAGCCCTAGACATGGGACAAACACTGGAATGTGAACTGGTACAGGGCGTTGTGCAGCCCTAGACATGGGACAAACACTGGAATGTGAACTGGTACAGGGCGTTGTGCAGCACTAGACATGGGACAAACACTGGAATGTGAACTGGTACAGGGCGTTGTGCAGCCCTAGACTTGGGACAAACACTGGAATGTGAACTGGTGCAGGGCGGCAACTACTTGACTCGCGCAATCCGATTTCATTGAGCAGCGCTGTAGACAAGACTACAGGTTCCCGTGTCACATCACACGGACTGCTTATTGTAGAGCTAGTTGATGATTTTCCTAAGAACACTCCAACTCCACTGCAGCGTTTTCTTTCCACTTGTAAACACCTCCCCATTCCACGAAATTACCCCGATGCTGCCCAATGGGCAAAATAATATTGGCCGTATAGTGAAACCTGTCTAAGACGACCGCTCAAGGGACCTTCAAAACGTGGTCTCTGTGACCAGGTGGTCGCCTTATCCAAGGTTATTCGACTGGAAATAGCATCCCTTGGTCCTGGTTGCAGTGGTCTTCTAGGACAGGTGGTCGCTTTATCCGAGCGGTTGCCTTGACAGGTTTTCCTGTGCTTTTATCTATTTTGTGCAGCTGAGAGCCCTGTTTGTGGAATTGAGGTCTTGGTTGATCCTGGCCATCCTGACCAAACATAACAGATAAACTACAGGGCTAGACTTCACTGACCACACTGGTGATGACCTTCACCGACTGTATGCCTACAAATTTGCGGTGCCTCTAAATTTCGGCCTCCCAGGGCCAGCTGAAACGCATTTGGCCGCCTTAAAATTTCAATCTGTACTGCTACTGCCTGTCTATACTTTCACACTGAACCTTGCAAACTAAATTTCAGCCGCAATCAATTTTCGGCCAAAAATCCCCTGGCCGAAACTAGCTGAATATAAATATGCGCTGAATATTTGTCGACCTACAGTATGTAGCAAGAAGGAGCCACAGGTGTGTGTGATCCCCGGTAACCTAATCGGTAGGGCACTGTCCCGGAAAGACTGGGGTGCTGGGTTAATTTGAATCCCGCTCGTGGATCTTTCTTTTGCAACACCTATGCCAGTTGCTGCCATGACAACTGAGCCCCAGCCTTGGTTTGGACTGAAAACGTGAAGGAGAGCAAATACCTGCACAAGGTTGGAGAGTGCCAGGGGAAGACAGGGAGTGAAAGAACCTTCCTACAAAGTGCTGCTGACTAGAACGTTTCTATTCTTTGCGAAACGAGTACTTGCTCTTTTCAAATTTTCGAGCGAGTGCTCGAGTATTCGATATACTCGTTTCACCCCTACTAGAAACTTAGAAAGCAGTGAGATTGCGACTACAGTAAAACCTGTGTTTGCCTGACCCTGTAGCAAGCGGAACCCTGCATTGACCGGACTAATTTTCATGCACCAAAGTGTTGTGGATCGAAAGTGCACCCCTGGATCAAGCGGAATCCTGTCATATCAGGACAGTTTCCACTGTACCAAGTCCAAGGGTGTTCGGTTAGGCCAGGTTTTACTGTACATACCGGTAGCAACACATTAGTCATGGTATTATAACTTTATACCAGGGAGTAGTAAAATACCGGCATTGTACTACTCCCTGGCATCATCAACCAGGGAGTAGTAAAATACCGGTATTTTACTACTCCCTGGCATCATCAACCATGGAGTACTAAAATACCAGTATTTTACTACTCCCGGCATCAACCAGTGAGTAGTAAAATACCAGTATTTTACTACTCCCAGGCATCAACGAGGGCTTCTCCCTCCCCTGCCGTGAAGGCGGTCTCGGTGTGCTCGACCCGACCCCACTGGGGACGCAGTATTGTTCCTCTCGATCCGTCACCTCGTCGCTCGTTGAGAACATCGTCGCTCAGCGCCCACAGCTTGATAATGTGCTAGCCACCGTCAGCCACATGAAGACCAGGGTACGCAATGAAGCCCGCCGCCGTATTCAGGAGGCTGCTGCGTCGTTCATCAGCGCAGCTCCTGAAAGCCTGCAGCGTACTATCCACCTGGCCCGCGAATCTGGAGCATCCAGCTGGCTAACCTGCCCTCCACTGAAGGCTCACGAGTTCTCACTGTCCAAGAGTGAGTTCAGGGATGGTCTAGCTCAGCGGTATGAATGGCAGCCCAGCCGCCTACCATCAGCGTGTGTGTGTGTGTGTGTGTGTGTGTGCGTGCGTGCGTGCGTGCGTGCGCGCGTGCGTGTGTGTGGTGAGCCATTCGATGTGACCCACGCTCTTTCCTGCAGCACTGGCGGCTACCCAACAATCCGTCACAACGAGCTTCGTGACGTGACAGCGAATCTGCTCAAGAGAGTTGCCACGAATGTGGCAGTCGAGCCTCGACTCCAGCCGCTAACTGGAGAGGGGCTGCAGTACTGAACTGCAATCACTGACAACCAAGCCCGATTGGATGTGGCGGCTTTGTGGCGCATTTCAAGATGCTGTCTACCTCCGCTACTGTTTTTGCCCTTCCGAGATCCAGCATTGCTTGTTTGCGGGGCGCACGGCGAATTCGTCCCCTGCTAGCCATGGACACCTCTGTCGTGAGCGTGGTGGCTGAAGCGGCTATCCGGTCTTGAGGCAGTTGTGTGTTCGGTGTCGAATGCCGGTTTATAGTAGTACTTTTTTTTTTACTTCAAAAGCACGTAATCACCAGGATTTGGAATTACAATCGTTGTTGTTAAAATATGTTTCCTTGTTTATTGTTGCTTTGGATTTCTTTTCTACTGTGCTTTGCTGTGCACCTATTCCACTTTCGACGCTTCGTGTTCTTACCATTATTATTCGCCATGGTGACCCCCGTACGTCCGTGTAACTGACAGGGCAGGGTTGGGCCTTTTTTCTCTTTCTTTTACAAAAGAAATCAGCCAGGGAGTGACTGTGATGGTCGTGTTTTTCCGAGCTCTGGTCTTATGCAACTAGTGGAGCTGATTTTGCCCGATCGTGACACCAGGACACGCAACTGACACACCAGCCATGTAGGGTGGCCCATGTTGCCGGTGCAACGGCAACGGCACCTGCATGGGACGTGCGTGTGTGAAGGTGAAACGCAAATGTTCTAACTGTGTGCCTGCGAAGACCAGCCGGTGTCAGAACCGCCCCGTTTCCGACCATGGCAAGTCCCGACGACCACCAGCAGTGAGGCCGCCGCGGCTAGGGTAGATAGCATAGGTTGTGAAAGCGCAGCTGTATCCAATACCTCCAGCGATACGTCTTCTTCTCTTTCTTCTTGTAGTTCAATTGTATTATCTGCCCGCGCTGCTGGCTGTACACAAACATCTTTTCAATGTTCACAAATTTCTAGCCCTGTCGCCGAAATTTCGAACAACAGTGCACGCACCGTAGCAAACAGAGATGTTGGAAACACGCCAGAGTCACCCGGCTGCCCTGCAACCATACAAACACGTACACCCACACAATGCCAGGCATTGCTCCGCACCTCGAGCAGCTGGAGTCCACCATCTCCGAGCCGTTCATTCCGGCTCCTCTTGGTCGCCCTGAGCCCGGAGAAACGGAACGCCAAGTTCTCGCGCTCCCATGCCGCTACGGAGGCAGGCATGGGGATTGTCTCCCCAATATCCCTAGTGAACCAGTTTCCTTCCTCCTTAACCATCACCGAGAGCTTGGTTCAGCGCATTCAGTTGAGCCAGCATGTGCTGCCACAGGGGGAGGCGGACAACACCAGGGCAGCCAAAGCTAAAGCCAGGGTAGATGCCAGGAAGACGGAGCAGCGTCATGCCAAGGAGTTGTACGATGGCATGGATGGAGACCTGCAGAGGTCCATGGATCTTGCGGCTGAAAAGGGTGTGTCTAACTGGCTCACCTGTCGGCCACTCAAGCATCATGGGTTCTTGCTACACAAGGGCGCGTTTCGAGATGCTGTCTGCCTCCGCTACGGTTGGTCTACGCGCCACCTCCCACAGAGCTGTGCTTAACTGTCCCGCACGCTCTGTCTTGCCCAGTAGGTGGCTATCCATCTCTGCGGCACAACGAGCTGCGAGACCTGACGGCTACCATGCGCACATCAGCAGCTCATGATATCAGCATTAAGCCACGCCTCTAGCCGTGAGGATGGTGCCAGAGCATGTACGCAGTGAACTGTCTTTGTTTGCAATATGCCGCTTACTCTGCCCGCAAAAGAGTCTTGGTCGTTCAATACAAAAATCAACCAGAGAGTAGTAAAATACCAGTATTTTACTACTCTCTGGCATCAACCAGGGAGTAGTAAAATACCGGTCTTTTACTACTCCCTGGTTGGTGCTGCATGAGAATCACCACTACCGTACCAGTCCACAATTCAGTGTTTCAAATTCTCCCGTGGCAACCGCCTTGCCATCCTGAATGCAAAAACATGTGTGTGAACACGTAAACGCACATGCGCGCATGCACGCGCGCACACACACAAACACAAGCACACACACACACACACACACACACACACACACACACACAAACACAGAAAGGTTGAATGCATACACGTCATGAATTTTCGATGGCTTGTTGCACTACTCTATGTAATCGCTGTACTACTGCATAGTGGAGCATGCTTTAAACCGTACTCGCTCTACTACAGTTCTGCTCAATAAAATCCAGTCGCGTCACTCAAGTTTGCACCTTGTATCATTTCGCAGCCCAGTGTTTGCAGGTCTAGGGTTGTGCAACGCCCGGCGTGTACTTGAGTGACGTGACTGGTTTTCATTGAGCAGCACAGACCTGGACTTTTTGTGTAGAAATGGGCTATTATTGGAGACCTGAGCTTTTACTAATTTAAAGAAAATATGGTGCTCTAAGTTGGTTGCTTCCACGTGCACATGCTTCCTGCCGAACTTGACACTTGAAGGACTCACGCCTGCCATCCGCAACACACGCGGAGCCTGTCGTAGAACTCTCCACTCGGTGAACCTGCAAGACAGCACCACTCCCTGCTCAATACGGTATATACTGTACTATCATGGACATTGAAATCCGCTGGAAGGACCGGGGCCAGCGCCCTTACTGCTTTTAGTGCGTACATGCACTATGTCATGTATCTGTAGACACTGTAAACATGGACCAGATGTGCCCACGGTTGTAAGGCCAGCACCCCGTAGCTGCTTGACTTCTCAACGGATTTCAATGTGCGCTACAGTACTTAGAATATAATGCTGTGTCGCAGCTCACCTGAATCCTATTAACTTCAAGCTTTACTCCAGATGCTTTGGCTCCATCAACATCAGCAACCACCTCCACAGGAGATCGACAGAAGAGCATTTCAAATTCTTTCGCTGCTTGATTTCGGCGCTGTTGCTCAGATTCAGATGGTGCAATCCTGGACAGACACACCAATGGACAAGATGAGCAACATGATGGTTGGCATGTGCTTGTGTGGGTGTGGGTGTGGGTGTTTGTGTGTGTTGGCCAGCTAGTTCGGTTGGTGGTAGGGCTGCAAGGAATATTCGATTGATATTCGATTGATATTCGTTTGGAACCCGATAGAAGGAATATTTTCCCCTTTAGAATATTCGTTCGTTTTGACACGTGCGCAAACTCTGCTCGTGTCGATCTATTGTAGTAATTCTTGAACAGATGGAGTGATATGTACATGTGTTATGTGTTGAGAAAGGGGACTATGACTCACAAGAGTAGTGGACATGACTCCACTAGACATCTACTTGGTCTAGAACAACCTGGGACTAGCCAAACACTTTCTAAGGTTCTTTTGGTATCGAATATTCGATTCATTTACAAAAAATTCAATTTCGGTCCTATTTAAATGATCTGTTTCATCCTTAAGCGGGATTCACAGAATCTTTTTTGCGATGCGACACGCGATGCGACAGGCGCGAAACCGGGAAAACCCCAAATCGCAGCCATGTCGCACCCCACGCAACTGCCGCAACTGGGCCATCGCATGCGATGCGATGCGATAAGCGATTTGGCGTACGATTTTGACCTTTTCTACAGCAAAGTTGTACAAAGGTTCAAGAGTTGCCTATAAATTTGTACAAGTTGTATCAAACCGCGCGAATATCATGGTGACGTAGCCAAATCAGCAAGATGTTGTCGCATCACTGACTGACTTCTTCTGTGAATGGTATTTCGCGAGTTCGCATCGCACGCGGCCGTCGCAGATCGCGTCGCATCGCGTGTCGCATCGCAAAAAAAGCTTCCGTGAATCCCGCTTTAGAAGTAATTGAGCATTCTGAGAGAATATTCGTTACCCGTTCGTTACGGATGAGTATTCGTTCGTTTGTGAAATAGAATATTCGTTGCAGCCCTAGTTGGTGGGTACACTTATGCCTGATTGTGTCGGGTCTGTTGCCAACGAGCTCGACTGCTTGAAGGTGTAATGTTGTACCTGCCACCTTTGTTGGTTCCAGGGTTCATATACTTTCTATTTGAAGTATCAATGGTCCTAGTGAAGCTTTTATCAGATCCACTCTGATTTAGCCACCCACACTAGTAGCAAGGATTACCTTCACTGGGGGCAGGGGTAACTGCAGTTGGATCCCGGGACGGATACCCTGATGCCGTCAATCCTTTTTTTCTGCACCTTGTCCTCACCCACTTACTGAGGTGTGGTGAGCCCATAAGGGGGATCATTTTCAAGTCCACCCAGAGTTTTTGGGTATTTCAGGGGGTATCGGCCGTTGAGCGGTTCAACAGCCGAGTCATCTTTCCAAGATTCCTTTTGAGTCTCTCTCCCCTCTCCCGGGGAGACCCACGTGACCAGTTTTGGAAGTGAGCAACAAGTACAAGAGCAAGTGTGTGTGTGTGTGTGTGTTTGTGTGCGCGAGCGTGTGTGTGCGTGCGTGTGTGCACGTGCATGCATGTGTGCATGTGTGTGTCCACTTGTGCATATATATGTACGTGTACGTGCATGCCCACATGTGTGTATATTGATCTAAACACCATCTCCTGGCACGTCCAAAGATGACAGCCAGGTGAAATCCGACAACGTGTGAATCAATGTTGTGCCCTGCCCCTGTTCATATCCCATACAGTGTTCACAGGTTGTAGGGCTCAATAGGGCTTGAAAGTGATGACGTCAGAAGTCAAAATCTAACGACAAATGACGACCTTTGGATACACTTGGGTCCAGTATTTGTATGGGCCCATACACGTTTGGGTGGTTTTCCTTCGCAGCATAGTGACACATCCACCGGTAGGTGTGAGTCCAGGACCGGGAGGGCTTTGTAGTCCAATCACTACCGGTGGATGTGTCACTATGCTGCGAAGGAAAACCACCCAAACGTGTATGGACCCATACAAAAACTGGACTCAAGTGGATCCAAAGGTCGTTATTTTGTTGTCAGATTTTTGACTTATGACGTCATCACTTTCAAGCCCCATAGACAGCCGTGCCGGCATGACATTGACTTGCTTGATCGGAATACATTGAACACCACTGTACTAACAAACAGATTTTCAGGCTGAGTGTCCTTACATGGCCGTGTCGTGCAGTAACTTTGTAAGGCGTTTGCGAGGACGTTCCAGCTTGGCCATTTCTGCAAGAACAAACACGACACATAGAGAGCGCTGTTAGAAACACTACACCAGGCATTGTGCATGCCACAGCGTGCGCTGCCAAACGCTGACAATCAGTCTACGTGAGACCCAGTAACGTTATGTGCTAATAGCTCACGTCACTCTAGCACCAGGGAGGTGGAGCATACATGGAGAGGACAAAGCCATTTCTGGAAGAATAACACACAGACAGCGATGTTAGAAACACTACAGTCATCATGATAGGTATCCATTTACCTCTGGAGAATCCGTAAATAAACAATACAATACAATACAATACATTGTGCAGTATAGAGTGAGATGTTACCACCCTGCTGATGGCCAACCCCGAACATTTGGTGGAATATAAATTGATTTGGTTCTCAATAAAGAGACCGCTATTGTGGCTGAGGAGTGAAGTTCCATACATGTCATGATGTGCAAGTGGCTGTGTTGGAGTTTGGGAAACGGTACCTTGCTCGGTGAGATGCTCAAAGTCCGCCGTTGAGAAGCGAGGTCGACAGTCCGCTAGGCGTATCAGCTCTCTGCATTCCTTGATGGTGAACGCAGCCTGAAATGCAGGTCACGAGGCACAAGTCGGTAAAAACACAGTTCAAAATACACAACCTCTACCTGCTGTGAATCCACTGCTCACACAATGCTCAATGTCCAAGAGGGCAGAGCTTCGTTATTCGGAGTCGCAGCACTAAAGATTTGCTCCACTTTATTTGTATGTAAATAGGGACGATGCATCCTGCAGCTTCATAACTCAAAGAGACGTGGTGAGCACACATGCTCTTTCCCTGGACACTGCAAAGTCACAATTCAGTTCACCGTGTCATTTTCGACGTTTCCGCAAATTGCCATCATCAGGATGCAATATGACGCGGAAGTCTGCCAAAAAAATTCATGGTTCGCGTGAGACTCGGCTAGCGGCCGAGTTTCCGGCATCCGTAGGAACGCCACCACCTTGCAAGGATCTGGCCAAGTCTGCCAAGGAGCAGTTATACACAAAATTTGAATTTATTTGTAAGGTGTCGAAAGTGATACTGTGAACTGAGTTGTGACTTTGCAGTGCCCGGGGAGAGAGCATGTGCGCTCACCATTCCTTATTTGTAGCCATGAAAACAGTCGTACCTGTAGTGGACCGCGGCGTCCGACCAGGTAGACCTTCTTTACGTTGCTCTTCCTGAGCTGTTCCAATGCGTGCTCCGATATGTCTGTTTTCTATACACCACACAGACAAACATACATGTGTGTGTGTGGTTGCGTGCGCACACATGTACACACACACACACACACGCACGCGCGCGCATGCGCACACACAGCAGGAGAAGCGTGCATATCACTGATTGAGACAATACTGTTCCATTGGGGTGGCTTTCAGAACAGACAAGGATATACTATACATGAAGTAAGCCTCTGTGCATGCACAAACCGTGCTCAGATGTACGCAGTCAACAAACTGAGCAGAATATCATGCGCACACACACACGGGGGCGGGCGCCCGCGTGCCCCCCCCCCCCCACACACACATACACACACTAACACACGTACACACGTACGCACACACACACACACACACACACACACACACACACATACTCATACACACACACTCACACACACACACACTCACACACACACACACACACGCACGCACAATCTACACATGCAGCAGTACCTCAAGAAAAGAGATAGGCGATAGAAGCATCATTGCCACATCCATGGCCACATTCCCTAATCCAAATATAACCGCTGTCTCTGAGCTCAAATCGATTGACAGCTGCAAGCAAACAAACAAACAATAAGCAGATATGACAAGTCTGAAGAAGGGCTGAGGCTTTTTGCAGCTTCATCTCTGAAATAAGGAAATAAGGAATTCATTGTTCGTATTACCTGATGATGGCCAAGTGCCGAAACGTTGTGAAATAACGGATCTGGTTCGGATGTGCAGCGCTATGGGAATGGGTGTGCCCACCCGAATTCCTCATTTAAGAGACGACAAACTCCTTCAAAACTGACGAATTTTAGACATGAGAAAGCAAATGAGGACATGGTCTGAGTGCAGTTCAGTCAAGGAAAGACGGGAGAAAGAGAGAGAAAGGCTCAGGCCAAAGTACTGGGTCCCGTGGAAACACAAACAAACATAAAACAGTATTGATAGAAAGTTATTAAACACAACCAATCCACAACCAACGGACACTGATTCGTTTTCTCCAGAACTCATCAGTGACTACTTCTGGCTGAGGACATGAGAGAATGAACTACACTCATACCTCTTTTATCCGAGCGGTCTGGGACCTTGCACTGCCCGTAACTTTGAAATGTCCGCAATTCCGAATCACATACATTGGTGGGGAAAGGCCATAGATATATTATAGATATGGCATATGACGTCACTATTTCCACAAAAAGTGACAAAAGAGTGGTAATATTTCCACTGAAACTCGTCGAAAGGGTGCCCGGTACACCGAAGCGCCCGTAACGTCTGGCACTTCAGTAGCTGATATGAGAGAATGAACTAAACAAAAAAGTCTGCACAGAGAAAACATACCCAGTATATACCCAGCACATACCTCTCTGTGTTCCGGCAAACCGTTGTACCAGCCGACAAAGTCGCGCGCGGACACAACGCCAGCCAGGTCCTGTGAACGCAGAATAACAAACAGTGGAACACTTGAGAAGATGTACCCGCATGGGCAGTGGGAAAGTGTACTTACTATCCAAGGTACTTGGAAAGTGTACTTACTATCCAAGGCACGTCTTACCCCACCAATACTTCAGTATGAATCACTACACCCATGGTGCTCCGGACAATGTCCGCACTATATGTAAGCAAGAATACGCCTCAACAGAGCACAGTAAAACTAAGAGTACCTAACTTCAAGAGTGTGCAACTCCTGATCTCCGAGCTATGCGTGCCATGCGCGGCGCACTGCCTGCATTACGTAGTGAAAATTAATCGCAATCCAGCTGCATGGATTTGAGTTTTCCTACTCATTCGTTTGAGGAAAAGGTGCACACTACTACACGATTGCACTCCCCGGTTTCAAGTGCTTTCAAGAACGAACATGACATGCCCCCCCCCCCCCCACACAGACACAGACACACGCAAGTACCCTTACCTGGAAAGAGGAAAGCACTCACCTCGCCAGGGACGCCAAGTTTCCGATCTTCACTAGCTCCGTATGCCTGTAAACCATATCGCAATAGAGAACATTGAGATTGTCACTCAAACTCATAATTTACGTTTCACGAATCTACGTTTTCCTCGCTGCAGTATCATGAAAGTAAGCACCAACAAAACTCTACTGTACTTAATCCACTGTCCTTGTTCCTTTGGCTTTGCCTGCATTTCACCTGACGAGAAGGTTGGAAAGTATACTCGTGTAACTCTCAAGACGTTGACAAAGAGCCTGAAGTATGTGTGTTTTCTCCTTAGAGTATTATTGCATTCTTGTCCCCGAGGAAACTGTTAAACACAACTGAGTAAAGAATTTCGAATTTTCTGATGTACTAGTTTCATTGCTTGCCCCCCCCCCCCCCCATCCATTTTTTGGAGGCAAATGTCTCATTCAAGTTTGGATTTATTTGTACAGTACTAGAAACCTAGAACGCATGGTGGAGGTACTTGGATGAAAATGCACAGCAGATTACCAGCCAGTGTTGAAGACTCATGCAAGTACAGCGGATACCACCGAATTCTCATCAATTCTCATCTCTTCATAGCAATGAAAGAGTACATAACCGTGCCCATTCCCGAGGGAACACAAGACAGCCACTAACACGGTAGAAGAAAAAACAAAAATGGGAGTGAATTCATTATAGGGTTTAAATGGTCACAGCGTTTGCATGACCGGGTATCCTTTCAAGTAACGGTCAGATAACCGGTTACAACCGGCTACTGTAGAAGCAGAAATATTCGTCTGGAATTTAATTTCGTCTTTTTCGTCCAAGGAGCTTCGGGACTAAATTAAATGCCGGACGAATGTCGATTTGTCCAGTGTTTCAATACACTCTTATGGTCCATAGACTAAATTTTCAACCGGACGAAATCCCTTTCTTTGGAGTTGTATGAAATTATTGACCGGCGAAATTTTCTGCTTATACAGTATTGAAATCCAGCACATGTACATGTGCACGAACATGAACTATCGCACCACACACCATTTTTATTAAACACAATTGAGAGCAGATATGACCTCACCAACACAACGACATCATACAGTCGGCGGAGAGAGGCAATGGTGATATCATCTCCAACACAGACATTGCCTAGGAAGGTGCACCGTTCAGACTTGGCCAGTTCCGTGAACTGGTTCGTGACGTTCTGCAGACCGACAGGCACACACACACACACACACACACACACACACACACACACACACACACACACACACACACTCACACACACACACACACACACACACACACACACACACACACACACACACACACACACACACACACACACACACACACATTGTATAATTACATGTACCAGTAGTGCCACACCTCCACATGGCACTGATCTAAGTAATAGCCGCCATACCTGCTGTAGCAAGCTTCAACTTGAAAACAGGGTGGCTAGCAATGTGCCACTAGTACACTGTACACAGAGATATATTAGAATTCTGACATCAGCCTTTCGGACCCCAGCAAAGTGGACTAATTCCCGATGTGGTCTGTTTCGTGAACTTGACCATGCTGCATGTGAGAGCCAATGGAGGAAAACTCGGGATCAAGTAAAAGTGGTCAGATCCGCAAGGTGGTTGGTTGACTGAGCAGAGGTGGTTAGATTGTGGAGGTGATCGAATTGGAGAGGTGGTCGGATTGGCGAGGTGGTGGGCTTAGTGAGGCAGTCGGCTTAATGTGGTGGTTGGATTGGTGACAAGGTCGGATTGGGGAGGTGGTCGGATTGGGGAGATGGTTAGCTTAAAAGAGATGCAGGAGTCCATTGCGGGACAAGTCCAGGACTGATCTATGTTACGAGTATGCGCATATAATACCGATGAGAGAGAGAGACGGCACGGAGAGAGACAATGCGGCGACAAACACTATACACTACAATCGGTTTAATGAGATTCCACTGCACCTTTACATCCTGATGATGTGGAGCTACGCCATAGCGCACTAATCCAAACGGTACTGGCAGCTTGTCAACAATGTCCACGTTGACATCAGGAGATCCTTTCTGTCAACAATGCACATCAAGGAATATACGTCCAGACAAGAACAACAGCTACTGTAAGTCTACTCATTTTCGGCGCATTCAAATTTCCGCCTCCCAGGGCTAAAACCCATTTCGGCCGCATCACATTTTCGGCCTGTACTGCTGCCGCCCGTATACACGGTCAAGTATACCCTGAATTAAAATTTTCACCAGTTGTAGTCTTCGGGGTGCTGAGTCGAATGGTCTTGGTCCGAGGAAGCTGAGACGCTCCCTTCCTCCTTTATTCTCAATCGAACTCGCACACTTCCACCGGAATTGGGTGACTGCGCCCTACTAGATAGGGATTTGTATGGAAAAAGTCACTAAAAACGCCGTTTCGTTCTTATAAAAGCACGGATGACCGCGATTGGTCCATATGTTGTAGTCTTTTGGCCGCTGAGTCGACTGGTTTTGGTCCGAAAAGGCTGCGATGCAGCGTTCGGCCCTTATTCCGAATTGAACACGATTGAGTAAGCGGTCACGAGCTCATGTGTACACCAGTCGCCTGGTCACCGTGCCTGCACAGCTGCATGCAGGCTACAATTTTCACATCAAGGTTCAACTCAAAGGTTCAAAGCAGGGAGTCATAAGAGGCTTTTACGACTCCCTGGTTCAAAGGTTCAACTCGAGTGACATAAACGGGCCCAAACAGGCTGTAATAGGGGTTTTACACTCACGTTTATTTTCACGTTTATTTTCACGTTGTTGAAAACGTAGCTCTTCGCGGCCATGCATTCACACTCACACTTTTCTCCCGAGTGACATAAACGGGCCCAAACAGGCTGTAATAGGGGTTTCACACTCACGTTTATTTTCACGGAGTTGAAAACGTAGCTCTTCGCGGCCATGCATTCACACTCACACTTTTCTCCCACATTTTGCAGCAGTTACCATGGAGATAGCATTGCGTCATCATAAATAGCACGTGCACCCGTGCAGGAAAGTGGGGGAAATTTTGAATTTGAGTATTTTGACGCAACACCAACGCGAGATGGAGCTGAAGGATTTCAAGTGAAGCTGCAGAGAAAAATGGACACTGCTCCCTCCCCTTCTTCTTCAGTGAGTCTATCTTGTTTCGCAGCTCGTTCACTGTGAACCGCCTTTCATTCTGAATCTGCTCGAGGCGGAAGTTGAGGGTTTCAACAGCTCGCTTTTCCTTGGACTGCCGGCTTTTCATCATCTTGTCTGTTGACGACATTAGCTCACTCCAAACCTCTAGGAGCATGGCTTCCGTTGTCTCGTCAAATGTCTTGCAAGGCATGTCGGCAAGATCGCAGGAGATAGAAATCACAACCTACATGTACCTGGTTTTGACAAGAAGTGGAACGAGAAAGAAGCCTCGTGTCGACTGCGAGTATAATTATGTAGGTGAAATCCTCTCAGCCGCCACGTGTCGGCTCCATTGGATTTCCCCGCCAAATAGTTTCCTGGACGATGATTGGTTCACATGATTGCCGAAACTCAAGAACGGCAAAAATCATAGCCGTAAACGTAATCGTGGCCGGGGGGTTCTGTGCCACGTCTACGTTTCCCGTTTTCCCGTTTACGTTTCGGGAAAAACCTCAAAAGAGTCGGTCGTTGCTATGATACTTTGCCGTAAACGTGAAAATAAACGTGAGTGTGAAACCCCTATAAATGAGCACGTGACCGCTTACTCAACCGTGTTCGATTGGGAATAAGGGCTGAACGCTGCATCGCAGCCTTTTCGGACCAAAACCAGTCGACTCAGCGGCCAAAAGACTACAACATATGGACCAATCGCGGTCATCAGCGCTTTTATAAGAGCAAAACAGCGTTTTTACTGACTTTTTCCATACAAATCCCTATCTAGTAGGGCGCAGTCACCCAGTTTCGGTGGAAGTGCGCGAGTTCGGTTGGGAATAAAGGAGGAAGGGAGCGTCTCAGCTTGAGTGAGTGTGAAACCCCTATAAATGAGCACGTGACCGCTTACTCAACCGTGTTCGATTGGGAATAAGGGCTGAACGCTGCATCGCAGCCTTTTCGGACCAAAACCAGTCGACTCAGCGGCCAAAAGACTACAACATATGGACCAATCCCGGTCATCAGCGCTTTTATAAGAGCAAAACAGCGTTTTTACTGACTTTTTCCATACAAATCCCTATCTAGTAGGGCGCAGTCACCCAGTTTCGGTGGAAGTGCGCGAGTTCGATTGGGAATAAAGGAGGAAGGGAGCGTCTCAGCTTCCTCGGACCAAGACCATTCGACTCAGCACCCCGAAGACTACAAACAACTGGTGAAAATTTGATTTTAGGGTATACTTCCCCTTTAAAGGGGAAGTACGGTATACCAGGCTAAAATCAAATTATAAAATATAAAAGCGCGGATAACCGCGATTGGTCCATATGTTGTAGTCTTTTGGCCGCTGAGTCGACTGGTTTTGGTCCGAAAAGGCTGCGTTGCAGCATTCGGCCCTTATTCCTAATCGAACACGGGTGAAAAAGCGGTCACGTGCTCATTTACAGCCTGTTTGGGCCCGTTTATGTCACTCGAGTTGAACCTTTGAGCCAGGGAGTCGTAAAAGCCTCTTAGGGGCTGTCCGGGGTTACCAATTGTTTTTGCAAAAAGAAAGGTTTTAGTATTTTTCAGCATCCACCAACCCACCTACCTGTTCTGCAGGTAAAACGAATTCCAATAAAATATTGATGTCAATTTTCGACATCCGGAAGTAACTGGGCATTCTCCATCTGCATTCAATAATTATTTTCAAAACGAAACTCCTTCAAACCCACCCACCCCCAAACGAAAACTTTTCGTTTTGAAAATATTATTGGTAACCTTGGACGGCCCCTTATGACTCCCTGCTTTGAACCTTTGAGTTGAACTTTGATGTGAAAATTGTAGCCTGCAGGCGCGGTGACCACTGACCAGGCGAATGGTGTACGCATGAGCACGTGACCGCTTACTCAATCGTGTTCGATTGGGAATAAGGGCCGAACGCTGCATCGCAGCCTTTTCGGACCGAAACCAGTCGACTCAGCGGCCAAAAGACTACAACATATGGACCAATCGCGGTCATCCGTGCTTTTATAAGAACGAAACGGCGTTTTTACTGACTTTTTCATACAAATCTCTATCTACAAGTAGTAGGGTGCAGTCACCCAGTTTCGGTGGAAGTGCGCGAGTTCGATTGGGAATAAAGGAGGAAGGGAGCGTCTCAGCTTCCTCGGACCAAGACCATTCGACTCAGCACCCCGAAGACTTCAACTGGTGAAAATTTGACTTTAGGGTATACCGTACTCGCGCGATTAGAGCCCTCTCTTGAATAGTGCCCTATCTCAAATAGTACCCTATTCTCCAAGAGCCAGTGAAAAATAAAGCCCTCTCTTGAATAGTGCCCCCCCCCCCCCCGGGTCTTGTAACCAAGCCCATGTGCAAGTTTGGTGTTCTTTTGCTAATGTTCTTGGCCATTGCTTTGCACTGGTGTTTTCAGGAACAAAATCGCAGGTCTTGTTCCCGTTTCTGTGGAGTCGTGAGCGTTTACAGTACACTTTAGGCTCTGTTTTTCTTTGTTTTATGCTGGATGACGCAAATGTACCAGCAATGAAAAAATAGTGCCCTCTCTTGAATAGTGCCCCATCTTTGATGGACATTGAAAAAATAGTGCCCCAGGGGCACTAATCGCGCGAGTACGGTACTTCCCCTTTAACCTTGGAAAAAAAATTTCGGCCGCAACAAATTTTCGCCCAAACATGACCAGGCCGAAAATAGCCTAAAAATAAATATGCGCCGAATATTGGTTGACTTGCAGTACTGGTTAGGACAATGTTGCGGCCCTCTGGCCATGCTGGCCATGGTAGACACAATTTACATGAAAATATGCGCATCGCGATATCGGCGAGCAAACAGGATGACAGGAACTTCTTAATCCGCTCGTTGCTGATACACGAATTATTTTTCCCACTGGATCAACTTTTAACCTGTAGCATTTGACTGGGATGGAGAGCCAAGGATTAAATTTTTAAAAAGAGTGGACTAAAATGTTACATGTGTTGGACACCAACTACGGATAACATGAATAAAATATTGTAACATGTTGGTCCTTTTTTTCATCGTTTATTGCACATCGTCTCCACCATTTTACATTGCATGAATAACGTACACAAATGTCGGTTCAGCTCGTCTTATTCATTGCGGTTATCAAATTATTGTCTCCTCGCCGTTTATTTTGGTCCTTTCTTTTTTTTAATTTGTACCATTTGCTACATGGGGTTTTTTCCAACTCAAAAGCGCTGGCAACGAGTGAAAAAGAATTACAGTCAAAGTTGCCTTGATCCTTGAAGGGTGGTGGCGTTCCTCTAAGGATGCGGAAAACTCGGCCTCTAGCCACGTGTCACGTGAATCGTGATTTTTTAGCAGCATGTGCCTACTCGTGTGAGTGACCAAGAATACTGCATGCATGCACATGACGACACTATGCATTGCTGCTAGCAATCATCTACATGTACTAGTACAGCTACAGTCAGACCTCGTTTAACCGCACACATCCGTTTTCCACAAAAACATTAATTTTATTTATTTAATAATATTAACTGGTTTGAGGGAAAGAGACAAACGGGAAAAGTCCGAAGAAAAAATTGACTGTCACCACCAGGACTCGAACCAGGGACCCTCGCTTGTAGCCAGCGATGCTCTAACCACTGAGCTATGGTGTAGTCGTCATCCCAGCAGAGACCGTTCAACGTTTTCTAATAATAATAGCTATGAAAAGTATGAATGCCGCAGACATCACCACGCAACATGACAATTTGTTCAAGGTTTGGTTTTGTGTGTTTCTAAATTGTCATGTTGCGTGGTGATGTCTGCGGCATTCATACTTTTCATAGCTATTATTAAACTTTTATCTCCACGTAGATTATTTGTTTATTTTTTTATTGAAAAACCACAAACCTTCAGACATGTGAATGTGCACGTGATTATATACAGTGTACGTATACGTATGTATCGAGAAGGCAGCACAGAAACGGCAGTGGTGGTGAGGCCTGGGATATCTGGATAGACGAGGGAATTGGTCCTCAATCGGATAATCGAACGCACATACCAGTACTGTATGTAAGCATGGCATATGCTATAAATCAGTAACCAACGATTTTCTTCCGGATGGCCAGGGATCCGGATAAAAGAGGACCGGATAAGTGAGGTCTGACTGTACTACATGTACATGTGCATGAAACCAGCTTGTAACCACGACGACCTGATAACCGTTTCATAACCGCCCAAGTCTAGCGCTCGCGCGTCGCATATAACCGGTTATCCGGTAAACTGTTTTTTTTTTAAACCCCACTCCCCTTTCGGCTTAGGTTTGAATCAATCTAGGTGCATTTTAAAAATGCATTTTGACAATGTTCAAGTGTAAAAATGATTTTCAACTCCAGGCAAATATGTCTGCTTGTACAGAAATCTGGCAAGTCTAGAGGTCGACCACAGCGGGTGAAAGGAGCGCGGTTTGTGTACAAAATACCACCCCGTCACGGTCTGTTCGAAACCGAGTCCGGACTTTGTTTGTACCAAATGCAATTTTATCGGAAACGGCGTAATCCTTCCCGCGTGCGCATTGAGCGTCCAGAAGATAAAGTCATGTTGGCAGGAGCAATCCACATACCGTATCTTCAATAAAAGTCACTTGTGAAAACTTTCCATGCCATGATCCAGGACATAACAAGTGCGTATCTTGCCTCACCCTAAAATCCCACTCCTTTTTCTGTAAATCGGTGGAAGTGCAAAAATTCTACGTTTCAAATTTTGGCTTTCTCCGCAGAAAAATCAAATAACTCGTCTGACCTTGAGAAGGTGTTGAGCAGTGTAGAATCCCGCTGGTCCCGAGCCCACAACGCAGACATGAAGGAGGCGTTGGTTCACAGCTTTCACGCGCCATGCCGCCCTTCCACACCGACGCAATCCGCACGAAAGCCCAGGAAAATTCATATCGACAGACTGGGATGCATATTTCATTGAGAAAAACTTTCATGAATACTGAAAACAGGCCCAACAAATCCCGGCCGCGTTCCGTTCCAATCCTTTGTCAGTTTTTTCGTAGTTTTGCTTTCAAAATTTTAGTTCGAGACTACGATGTACGACAGTCGACAGTCGACAGACCATGCATGCAGACTTGGGCATGATTCATCTTGTATTGTTCATTGCATCACTAAAACTAAAGCCCCTCGAGAAACCTGTCTAAAACTTGTCATAAACCTTAGGACACCGAGGAAACCACCCCAAACCCTCAAGAACAAGGAGGAAATCGAGGTAAAACCGCATGCCCTTTTCAAATTATTTCAAATTTTTCAGCTCGGACTGAATTTTTTGCACTTGGGTTTTCATGCTTTGAGTTTGAGAATGATGCAGCTTCTTTCCTTTCGGTCGAGCATGGCATGGTAAAAGACTGTGTGCAGGAATGGAAAACATCAACAACGGCGTTTGTGGAAGAGCTTGAAGCAAAGTAGCCGGTCCAAGGACTTTAGGTTGTTCTTGTTTTTTAGCACGTATGCCCTGGTATTGTCTGTCGATGTTTTCTGGCTGTGGATCAGCGGGTAGCCAAGCCATTAGCTTCCTGCCGCTTGGATGTTCTCCTGGTAATTTGGTGTTGCACCGATAAATCAAATTCATCTGCTTTTCGACTAAAAATAAGTAACTGCGCTGAGGCTGAAGGATGGACCTACGGGTCGGAGGAAAGTTTAGGCTTGGCAGGAAGATTGGCAGTGGATCGTTCGGTGATATATATCTCGGTACGGAGCTGTCAGATTTGGGCTTTGTCCACGTCCTGGTGACTAACACCATTCCTGTTTTGTGTGGATGGAATAGGTACAAATGTTCTAACTGGTGAAGAAGTGGCAATAAAGCTAGAAGTATGCCACACAGACCACCCGCAGCTATACATCGAGGGAAAGTTTTATCGAATGCTCCAAGGTGGAGGTGAGTGGAATGATTGTTGTTTGCAATCTGGCTTTGAAAACTCCAAAACCCTAAATGTGAACTCTAATGTGAAATTCAGAAATTGTTCATGGACTTTTTAACATTGAAATATGCTGTGGCGTTTCATTGTGTTGTCGTTTGCCAGTCGGAATTCCGACGCTGAAATGGCTTGGTACAGAAGGAGACTACAATGTGATGGTAATGGAGCTACTAGGTCCGAGTTTGGAAGACCTTTTCAATTTCTGCGCTCGCAGCTTCTCGCTCAAGACCATTCTGCTTCTCGTCGATCAACTCGTGAGTGGCCATGCGTTTCGTTTGCTTCTGATTTTGTCTGTGTGTGTGTGCTACGTGAACGGTATGCCTGCATGCTGCTGTGTTCACGGTGATTCACCGGGCTAGTTGTCTGCTTCGGCGTGTGTTTGTTTATGTCGTTGTACTGTGCCTCGCGTTGTGGTGTAGCAGCTAGCACAGACTTCTGGACTGTGAAGGTGTAGGAAATTGTGCTGATGCATGACGTCTACGACTCAGTAATCGTCTCGTGAAGCATCGTCTGCCCAGCCACGATAGAGCTCAACATCTTGTGCGCTCGTTTGGCAATAGTCGCCAATTGAAAAGTCGTGTCTGGTGTTATGTTCACACGTTGTCCACGACAGAACAACACCCTGCATTGTTCGCCAGGGGACGGTCCACCACATGACCTCCACTGGCAGCACAGCAGAGCCAGCTGTGCCTTTGAACCACTGTCCAGTTCATCTGGGTTGTGCATTGAGCGTGGAGATCAGGATTTGTAATCATGTTGTCAGGAGGATTCTCCTCAATATTGATGAGCAAAGTTTGCATTTACATTTTATTAGTTTTTAGTTTTGATTTTCCATTGGGATTCAATTTTTTCCCCGATTATAAGTCGCGCCCCTTTTTTTTACCCTTGAACTTTAGTGTAAATAGGTGGGACTTATGTCCGGGGAAATGCAGCACGTGTACTGTCTACCTCTGATGTACCGTAATCGCGCACATAAGACCATGGTCTTATAATCGAAAAGTCGCTGTTTTCCGTCCTTTCACAAGTGCATTTTCGTTCGATTATAAGACCATGGTCTTATATGCGAGAGACAAACATCGCATCGACATGTACATGTGCAAGTACGCATATTATGCGTTAATGCCAGTACAATGGAACCATGATGAACCTCGTGTGGTTTTGTGATTTTGATTCACCTATAAGTGCATGTTCTTATCAGCGAGAGCGCTCATATATTCGAAAAAAGAACATATTCTTAAATGCGTGAGATTTCGGTACATGTGTCATTGTATCATGTTGGTGTTTCTAGGTACTACCAAGAGTACATGTACTAGTACTGTAAAAGCCATATAATAATATATAACGAAGTGCTAACTCTAACGAGTTAACGAGGAGAAATCTGTCGTAAAATAGAAATCGTTATACAGAAATCGATACGTATACCGTCCTATTGAGCGTTGAGAATGAGTGAGAATCGTTATATATGCGCCTCGTTAGAATAATGGCTTTTACAGCATGTCCAATTACTGTAAATCTACAAATTTTCAGCGCTGCAAAATTTCGGCTTTTCACGATTTTCGACATTTCGGCTGCGATTTATTTTCGGCGCCGGGTTTATACTAGTACATCACCATGGCTGAGGTGAAACATTTCATAAGCGTTTTAATTTCGGCGTTTTGGGCCAGTGCCGAATATGGCCGAAATTTGGTACACTACAGTATTCTCCAAGAAATTCTTTACTGGTTCATCTCGCCCCCTGTCACTCTCTGTCTGTTTTCGCGCGCATCCATCGTGCACGTCCACGCGTCATATTTCCTGTGCTGCCCTTGACCTGTTTGTATGTGTGGTTGTGTGTGTTTGTGTGTGTGCACGCGCGCGTGTGTGTGTGTGTGTGTGCATATTTCTTTGCTCGTGTAGATATCACGCCTGGAGTTCGTCCATTACAAAAGCTTCCTGCATCGCGACATCAAGCCAGACAACTTCTTGATGGGCTTGGCCAAGCGAGGCAATCTAGTCTACATCATCGACTTTGGCTTGGCTAAGCGGTGGCGAGATGTACGCACTATGGAGCACATCCCGTACAGAGAAGACAAGACACTCACTGGCACGGCGCGCTACGCTAGTATACAAACCCATTTAGGCATTGGTGAGTTCGTCAGACTATGTAGATACCCATTTGTACGAGTGTCCCATCTTTTCTCGCCATTGTGTCTGTCACAGGAGCTCCACGTGTGAGCGGCAGTGCTGCTTGACATCTCCATTCTCACCGTCAGCCTTCGCTTCTACGGCTTTTGTCATTTCCTTTTGTCTGTTGCCATGTGTCTGAGAGCTTGATATCTTTATTCTCACTCTGCTTTGCTTGTGCTACCGTTGCTGCTGTTCCTCTGTCTGTTATCGTCTCTCTCTCTCTCTCTCTCTCAGAGCAAAGTCGCCGAGATGATATCGAATCGCTCGGCTACGTCATGGTCTATTTCCATCTGGGTAGCTTACCCTGGCAAGGGCTGCGCGCACAGACAAAGAAGGAGAAGTACGACATCATCTCGGAGAAAAAGATGAGCACACCGGTGGATGTCCTGTGCAGGAAACTCCCACGTAAGCAGCCAAATGCTACTACTATAAGGCTTGAAGTTCAAAGTGATGGCGTCAGAAGTCAAAATCTAGCGACAAAATACGACTTGGGTCCATTTTTTGTATGAGAGTGGATCCAAAGGTCGTTATTTGTCGTTAGATTTTGACTTCTGACGTCATCACTTTCAAAAGCCCTATTGCCTCTGAGTTACTATGGTGCTGGCCAGAGAAATCCAACTTCATGAATATAATAGCGTTGCCGGGCGCTACAGTACAGGGCTCTAGCACTACAAACATTGTTCGGTGCCCTCGAACGCGGCGCTACTTTTTTCACGAGGTTGGATTTCTCTGGCCAGAACTGTAGTATGTGGTGATATGGAGGGGGGGGGGGGGGTCTAAAATAAATCAACACACAAACTGCATGTAGTTTGTACCATCCTGCTCCAAGCTCTGTTTGTTGTGCTTGTACTGTGAGTTGATTGTCATGCCTTCCGCTGCATCTTATCCATACCTAAAATCCCATTAGCCGCACAAACACTGACGCATGTCATCCGATAGGGAGCTGCTTAATTTCTGTTCAGGGCAACTGGTCTTTTCCCCTCGTACCTAAATTTTGAACGCCTAAAATTTCTGAAATTAGAGTACTAGTAGTTGCCAGACCATCACACCGACCTGTACAGGAATAAGTCACTCGTTGTACGCAATGGTATGGCTGTTATACTGGAGATGTATTTAGGAGTGCCACGCATGGCGGCATTTCACTGGCTAATTTTCTGCAATCCTCCTTGTACACGTCCTTGTGTTCGCCGCATGTGCCTCGGAAGCACTGCTCTCTCTCTCTCTCTCTCTCTCTCTCTCTCTCTGTCTCTCCCCCCCCCCCCCCCCCCCCTCCTCTTTCTTTCTTTTCGTTTACACAGTTTCTAGTATTGTTCCGTGAGGGTCTTTTCCGTCTAGCTCCTGTTTGCAACTGAACACTGTTCTGCCTTTCCTGTATCTATATTGGTGTGTTTGTTGTGCTTCTACAGCGGAATTTGCAACGTATCTTAACTATGCACGCGGTCTTCGCTTTGCGGATAAACCTGACTATGGGTACTTACGGCAGCTCTTCAGGACGTTGTTCTCTCGACTAGGGTTCTCGTATGATTACGTATTCGACTGGAATAAAGGAGTAAGTCCCCCCTAGCTTGTTATCTCTCTCGCTCACTCTCCCTCTCTCTGTCCGTCTCTCTCACTCTCACACACACACACACACGTGTTCTCTCTCTCTCTCTCTCTCTCTCTCTTTCCCTCTCTCTCTCTCTTTCTCTGGGCGTTCTTTGTTGTTGCCTGGCAGATTAATTGGAGTATGTAGATAAGGACCATCCGTAAATACCGATATTTATTTAGAAACGAAAACTAGTCCTTTCTCTTCAAACCCCTCCCTCAGAAACGAACACATACAAACGGTACATAGTATCGATATTGTTTTCCTTTTTTTCTGGACGTGCCCACACATACAAACTATGCATCGATATTTTTTCGAGAAAGGAACAGGCTCTCAACCCCCTCCCCCCTCAACGACTAGTTTTCGTTTCTAAATGAATATCTATATGTACGGATGTCCCCTAACTCACTTATAGCTTTGAAGTTATAAGCGCATGTGCTTGTGTGTGCGCTAATACGGATCGGTATTTACACATACTTTTGGAAGGCATGCCCCATACACTCGTACTCTCTGGCATAATGCATGCAACGCCTTGCCACACATCTGATAGTTCACTGTGAATCAGCTATACATAAAGCGTTTCCTCGCTCTCCTAAATTTCGTGGTGGGTTGCAGTACTTCCAGTATGTGTGTATGATTATGACTTATACTTGTCGATTGATGGATCAATCGGTAGATTCGCCTCTGTTTTTCTTTCCTTTCTTTCTTGTTTTGAATTGTACGTTGAACTCATTGGATTTCTTTGTATTCTGTATCTCGTTATCGTTATATTTCCCTCTAGCCCTCTCGCTTAGGATGAGCTTTCTTTTTTATGGCAGCTTAAGCGAAGGCTATATACCTGCTTTATGCAGGTTGATGCCAACGCGAACAAGCAAAATAATAATGATAATAATAATAATAAATTATGACTTATATTCGCTGTGTATTGTAGCAAACACAGTCCTTGTTGTGCCCGTCCGCACCAACCCCTTCTGTTGCTTCTGCTGTTTTTCCGATGTTGCTGTCTTTGTGATGTTGCTGCTGATGTCTTTTTGGCCGCAGGCCATCGTGAGAATAAATTTTAAAAAAGATGCTGCTGTTGCCGTTGCTGCTGCTGTTGGTGTATTTGGTGATGTTGTTGCTGATGCTGATGTTGCTGTGTTTGTGCTGTTGCTGCTGCTGCTACAGTTCAAGGAGCGCAACGAAGAAGCTAAGCAGCGGAAAGAGCAGCTGGCAATACAGGAGCGAGACGAGGAGTGCAAGGAACGTGCTAAGCCGTCCAAAGGTCAGTGCAACCACCGCAGTGTTGCTTTCACACACTTTCTTTGCTTGCTTTCGCAGGCAGGCATAGTGGGATGGTCTAAGACCGTGATTGAGAAACAGAGGGCATCTGGTTCAAGTCCTGCTTGGAAGCGGAAGGATTTGTTCCAGCCATGCTGCGACCCACAGTTAATTGGGAACTCGTGGCTTGGCACGAGGGAAACATGGGTGCAGCGAATGGGACTTTCGGTCTTTACCTTGTTGGTGGGCTGATCTACTCACCTCCCACCGCTTTAGGAGCTGCATCTGCACCTTAGATCTCTGCAGGGTGGTGGCGTTCCTACTGATGCTGAAAACTCAGTCCCAACTGAATCCCAAGCGAACCGGGGATTTTTCTTTTCTTTTTGCACACCTTGTGTTCCAAGGGCCCGTGAGTGTTCTATGCCAGTGAAGACCCCCTGCCGATCCTGGACACAACCTGCGTAATGGCTGGCATCAAGAGTGCATTATTAATCCCAAGTTCTTTTCCCTGTTGTGTTAGGCCTGTGAGCCACGCAGGAGTCCATTGCCGGAAAAGACAAGGACTGGTTTTATTTACAACGAGCATGCGCATAATGGTGTGACAGAGAGACAATGCGAAGAGAGACAATGTGGCGACAAACACTATACACTACACTTACCATGTGTGTCTAGAATACTCGTTTGCTGTTCTCTCTCTGTCTCACTCTCAATCCCTCCCTCTTTCTCTCTCCCTCACTCACTCTCTCTCTCTCTCTCTTCCTCTCTCTCTCTCTCTCTCTATCTATCTATCTATCTGTCTCACTCTCTCTTCCTCTCTCTCACTCTCTCTCTCTCTCCCTCACTCTTTCCCTCGCTCTCTCTCTCTCTCTCTCTCTCTCTCTCTCTCTCTCTCTCTCTCTATCTATCTATCTTCTGCTGGTAACGTATCTCTTGGTGTGTGTTGTGTGTCTCCCTTAATGGCTGTGTCCCCTGTTGTGCTGCTCCATTCTCTGGTGTGTTCTGCAGGTGCTGGTGCAGCCGGCGGTATGAAGGAAAAGAAGTAAGCACCTGCACCGGACACTCACTGTCGGGAGCAGCAGCAGCCAAGCCTATTCAGGCGCAGTCCTAATGCCGGTCGGTGGTGCTGGTGCTGGTGGTCATTGTTATGTTTGCCTCTGCAGCACTGAGCACAGCCTCCACGAATGTCGTTGTTGTTTCGCCCCGCATTCTCGTATGTGTGTTGACCGGCTGCTACGGGCAGTGTGGTCGCCTTACCCCCGCGTTATCATCAGTTCTACAGCTGTTGTTGTGACGTCCGGTTTGCTGCAAGGCACGGCACCTTGTCCCTACCTACCTACACACAGTTCTTCATGCTATGGTGACCAGGTGGTCCATGCTCTCAACGGGGTACGCTCTGCTGGGTGCTGGGCTGCTGACTGTTACTACTACTGCTGAATTGACAACGCCACCACCGTCGTTTGTTGTTGATCGACTACGGCCAACTACTTTTTCATGGTCGTCCACCAGCTCTCTCGCTCTCTCTCTCTCATCTGTACATAACTTACTGCTAGTTGTCATCACGTGATCACGTCAGACACCTCGGTAGTGTGAACTCCTCGTCCGTCTGTTCACGCTGTGCCGTAAGGGGGTGGTCGCTTGATGATTTGATTCTGTGTCAACCCCCGTTGTCGTCATCGCCACCACCGCCCTTGTTGTTGTACTGTATATATTCGCAGTGCGTGTGTGTGGATGTCTTGTAGTCCTGTGCATGAGGTACTGGCTCTTGCTGGGCGTGTTCACTGTGTGGAGAACACACTGTCAGTGTCTGCTGTTAGCTCTGCTGCAGCTAGTGTGCCCATTCCAGCTGGCTGCTCAACACTCCGAACAGTATTGTTAGCACTGAGCAGCTGGCAGTGCACTGGTGATGCGCCACGACTGGACACTCCACATTGTGCTCAGCATCTTTCACGCTCTCCCCTGCCCTGGCTCGTGGCCAGCCTCTTCTTTCCCCTGGTGCGTTTCGCTGCACTGTTGCCCGCCCCCCGTGTCCCACACCCTTGAGGTGCGTACTCGCTTGAGATGATGATGCCATTGAGTATGATGACCCGCGTGGTGCCCGTGGCCCGCGCACCTGACACACAGCCATTCCACTGCCACGTTGCAGTCACTCCATGCATCCTGCCATCGCTTCCTGCAGTATTTCGATTCCGTCTCCACCGCCGTTGTAAGTATCCCCCGCGTGTTGTTGTTGCTGCTGCTGCTGGCTTGGCTGGAATTTTGTACAGAGCTTCACAGCACCTTCCGGTCCATGCGCGCGCTCCCTGTCCCGCTGCATGCATTATATGCCAGGCGTTCCCCCGTGTGTATAGACCTGCTGCAGCTGCGTCGTTCCCCTTCCTTGTGCCTCGCGCGGTTGCCCCGGGTCTCTTGTGCTCGTGTGTGTGTGTGTGCTGCCTGCCGTCGCCAATGCTGACGTGATTGCCTCGTGGCGAGTTGCCCTGACAACGCCAACCCTCCTGTAGTATCGGTGGTCCGGTCGTGGTGGTGGTAGTGGTGAATATTACCGCTGCTGCTGCCGCTGCCGCCGTTCACGTTGAGTAATATCGCATTATTCTCGCCCTGATTCTGCTGCTGCCGGCGACTGCCTGTGCTGTGCTGTGGTTCAGGTACATGTACATATAGTCCAAGCGTGCTCATTTCTATAACCGTTTATGTGCAGAGTATTGCTGATAGTGTTGACAGGCTGAGGCAGCTGATGCTCAGCGTACCCCATGCCTGCGCTCGCCTCTCGCGTTCACATACAGGACCTGGCCGTGTTTTGAGCGAGCACGAAGAAAAGTATTGATGATATTGCAATCTCCCTCCCCGTTCCCCGCCGTTCCCCGCTGCAGCGTTGCCTCCCTTTACTGCGTGATTAATATTTACTCGTGGGCCGCTGCTTTTCTGCTCATCTTTTTTCACCCCCCCCCCTCCCCTCTCTCTCTCTCTCCTGCTTCTGGCTGGCATTATAGCTCCTGCTGTTGCATTGCAGGACAGAACCAGAGCAGGAGAGCACTTGTACAGATTACCAATGATGTCTATAAAATTTAGCTCCCTGTGCCGCTCAAGCCCCGCTCAGTTCCGCAGGTTTTGTTGCCTGCTCACGGTCCGTACCTGTTCAACAAATTTTGTTCCGTTTTTTTTGTGCAATACTTCCCTTTTTCCCAGTCTCTCGTTATCTTCCTCATCTGGTTTGTAAATTGTATGATGTGTTTGTCTGGCTTTATGTCAATATCGTTCTTTTCCTGTCCTGTGGTTCGGTCGGTGTTTGCTGCTGCTGCTGGTGGTGGCACACACTCTCTAGGAGAGTGTACTTCCTACCATTGAGTCCATCTCTCTCCCTCACTCTCTCTCTCTCTCTCTCTCTCTCTCTCTCTCTCACACACACACACACACACACACACACACACACACACACACACACACACACACACACACACACACACTTATCGCGAGTAGACTGTATGAGCAAGAGTTCATAATCCCGGGGTCGAACTCTTGCTATGACAGTATAGTAGTACCAAGAGTAGATAAACAAGAGTGTGCAACTCCGGATCTCTCTTGCCCAATCTGCAGATACCCCGCCCACGGCGGAATTTTTTGTTGGCGTCACCTTTTTTCAGAAGAACGCGCATTTTGCCGCAGAGCAGTGTGAGAGCACGTGCGCACGTGCTGGGCACCGGCCTTGTAGTGTAAATTTTAAAGCCGGCCAAGAGCACGAGGGAAAACTTTCCGAAAGACTCGCAGGGCGTGCGTCGTCGAAAAGATTACGTCAACAAAAAATTCCGCCGTGGGCTTACCCATCCGCGAGTTGCACGCTCTTGTTTATCTACTCTTGGGGTGCGTTCTTATATTCTCTAGCTTCTAGAAGAAGAAGAAAAGAGAAGTCGAAGAAACTGGGATTACTCAAGAACGGGTCTCGAAGAATTCGGAGATATTTTGCACATGTCAAGCAAAATGAAGCGTCAAAGGGGCCGCGATCTTGAGTGATGAATGTATGTGCGTATGCGAAAAGGGAAATGCGTACACTCATGATGAACACGTGGCTTTTAGTCGTAGTTCGCATGCGCTGATCCCAAACCGCGGGAATCTCCAAGTTTCAACCACCTCTGAAGCTTGGAGAGCTTGGAGAGCTTTGGAGAGCCTCCTAAAAGTCGGAGAGGATATAAGAACAGCTCTCGAACTTTTCGGAGAGTCTCCAACTTTTCCGAGAGGATTTAAGAACGCACCCTTGGTAGTACCATATATGCGTAATATTCACACGTAGCGTAGATGATCGTGATAGGGAGGTTCCGGAGTACGATTTTTCGTGCCAAAATCCGTGGAGGCGCTACGGATATTTTATACGTCGTTTTCGAGCAGTGAAAAGTTCCGGGGTACGGAACGTATGTGTTTGCCGTCATTAGAGTGGTTCCGGGGTACGATTTTCCGTGCCAAAATCCGTATGGGCGCTACGGATTTTTTCCAGGCGTGCTCCATACGATTTTTCGGCACGAGAATCTGTGTGGACTGGCTTTCATACGAACCATGCTTCGTATGGAGATTTTGCGTCATCGGGTGCAGAAAGATTTTTCGCGTACAAATTTGGTACGAGAAACATCGATTTTTCGCGGAAAGTTTTGATTTCGGTACAATTTTCAAAATAAAAAGGCATAGCGCGGGAATGTGACGTGTTTGCGATCGTTACCTAGGCAATGACGGCAAACACATACATGTAAGTTCCGTACTCCGGAACTTTTCACTGCTCGAAAACGACGTATAAAAAATCCGTAGAGCCTCCACGGATTTTGGCACGAAAAATGGTACTCCGGAACCTCCCTATTGCCTAGGTTACGATCGCAAACACGTCACATTCCCGCGCTATGCCTTTTTATTTTGAAAATTTGTACCGAAATCAAAACTTCCCGCGGAACGTGTTTGCGATCGTTACCTAGGCAATGACGGCAAACACATACATGTACATGTAAGTTCCGTACTCCGGAACTTTTCACTGCTTGAAAACGACGTATAAAAAAAATCCGTAGAGCCTCCACGGATTTTGGCACGAAAAATCGTACTCCGGAACCTCCCTATTGCCTAGGTTACGATCGCAAACACGTCACATTCCCGCGCTATGCCTTTTTATTTTGAAAATTTGTACCGAAATCAAAACTTCCCGCGGAAAATCGATGTTTCTCGTACCAAATTTGTACGCGAAAAATCTTTCTGCACCCGATGACGCAAAATCTCCATACGAAACATGGTTCGTATGAAAGCCATGCCAGTCCACACGGATTCTCCGTGCCGAAAAATCGTATGGAGCACGCCTGAAAAAAAATCCGTAGCGCCCATACGGATTTTGGTACGGAAAATCGTACCCCGGAACCTCTCTATTGTATACATGTAAAGCCTTTCCATATACTGCACTGGTGCTCGATGTTTTCAGTTTGGGGGTGGAAGTTGTCAGTTTGAGCACTCTGGCAAGGTACGTTCGGACCTGATTGGAAATTTTTATTTCCATTGCTATCAGGTTCGGCCTCATTTCCTCTGTGCTGCGCTGACGAGTCCACAAAGGACGAAACAGTTCTGTCCGCAGATTGAGTATTTCGCTCCTGCTCTTGTAGCAGTTGAGCACTCTTGCGTGGGGTAGTGCCTTTGCTGTTTGCGTTATGCAGAGCTCACTGACTTGTCAGTTTGAGCACTCTGGCAAGGTACGTTCGGACCTGATTGGAAATTTTTATTTCCATTGCTATCAGGTTCGGCCTCATTTCCTCTGTGCTGCGCTGACGAGTCCACAAAGGACGAAACAGTTCTGTCCGCAGATTGAGGATGATAATATTATTATTATTATTAATTTTTCTAATTCTATTTTGATCATTTTTTTAGATACCTCGGTGCATGCAGTGCACTACATGTAGTGGTGATACACATCGCATTGCGGTGTGTGACCATGGTGACTGCGCAGCACAACGACGTTACGTGCATACGTAGAGGCTACGTAGATCTACGTGCGCTGCACACGGGATCAGCTCGTCTGTGAGTGTGAGCGAGAAAAGCTTGCTCAGTCTTTCTTCGAACGTATACAGCAGTGGCTCAAACCTGTGTCCTCTCCGACCTCCGTGTCAGTCGGCCTTTCCACCCAAACACCAGCGCTGACTGGTCTACTGTCTTGTAGTTGTGCAAGGCATTGCTGTGGCTGACTAGCGTTTCGTCTCCACCATCTTTTCGCTACCGCGTAGAACACCGCCAGAACGCTGCATGCAGCCATTCTCGATGCTACCTTTCCCCGGCCCGTTGGCGATGCATGACAAGAAAATAAGAATTGTCCGACCCGGCCAGGTAGACAAAGCGGTGAAATCAGGTCAGTGCATTATGTTGAAGCCCCGCAGATCACCTCATGTTTTGTTTGTGTCGCAGCTAAGAGTAAGACTACAACTTATATAAACTAATTATTATAAGCTACACTAGTACTAGTACTAGTTAGTTACTCTAGCGCTGGGCTTTCAAGCTTTTGAGCAACATCAGCTAGTATAATAGTGGTGGTGGCCATGGTGGCGGAGCTGCTCCTCCGAACGTACATTGTACACAGCCATTGCCTGAAGCCGGCGTGGTTGCCATATAAGCCCACGGGCCTACAGTCAACTTCGCTAATAACGACTGCGGATATAACGACAATTCGCGAATAACGACAGAATTTCCATGCCCAGAGCAAAGTCCTTTCCAACTGTAATACATATAATGAGACTTCGGGTATAACGACACTTCGCGAATAAGGACACTTTTTTTATGCCCCGCCGAATGTCGTTATAAGCGAAGTTGACTGTATATCCGGATATAAGCCCACCTCCGTTTATAAGCCCATGGGCTTATAAACAGACACAAATGCAACTCGCGTCTCAACAAGAATTTTTCACAATGTGGACTCTTCCTACCATGGTACAGTACGTCAGTGCAGTTTACCAGTAGAGTATGGTAGACCCACTATGAGCACGGACTTGTACTTTTTCGTGAACCTTCAAAATTCGAATATTGGCCCATGGGCTAAAAAACGAACATGTTTTACTGGATATTTTATCCCCAAACTGCATTATTTGTTTATTTCACATACATGTATAAGCCCATGGGCTTATATGCGCGGAACTACGGTATGCACGGCTTGGGATAGAACACGTCTTTCTCTGTAATTCGGTTCTTTGCAGCATAATTTAACAGCGTACGAAGGCACGCTAACAAGATCAATAGCCCATCGACTCCGTAAAGAACGGCATTAGTATCAGCAGCAGCACAAACAGCAGTAGCAGCAGCCCTGGAAACGGCAATAATAGCAGCAGTGCAAGTAAACAGAACATCACCGTCGAGAAACCATGGATTTGAAAGTCTCTCGTGGCAGATTTCTCATAACGCGAATGATCGGTTGTGGCTCCTTCGGTGAAGTGTACGAAGGTACGTTGCCATGGTATTTGACCTCTTGTTGCAAAAGAAGGATCCACGAGCGGGTATCAAGCCCAGCACCCCTGTCTTTCCGGGACAGTGCCCTACCGATTAGGCTACCGGCGATCACGCACACACACACACACACACACACTCGTGGCTCCTTCTTGCTACATAATAATATATACACACTACAGTCCATTTCAAAACTATAGACGCGTACCTAGGCAAAAACCGTTATGCCAGCATCTATACCACATAAAATCTGTGATCACTTTGTGCATAAATTTTTCCAAATTGGGCGTCTGTTATCCAATCCTTTAGAAACTATATGAGAGTAATTGTGGAGCGATCCTGAGCAATATTCCGAAAACTATTCTCAAAAAGTTCCAGCCAAATTTGAAATATTTCAAAAACCCTACGCGTCTATAGTTTTGAAATGCACTGTAGTCAGAACAAAGATTTCACCTGATGAGTACCTGAGATGGCATGAAACTTTAAAAGTTGTGACTGATCAAGCCATCCGTTGTTCTGACTACCGTAAAAGTCCGTAAATAAGTACCTGCCCGAAAGAAATACCCCCTTCATTCTTTTGGCTCTGTCTGTTGAAGTCAAGTCAAGCCCGATAAACATACTGCCCGAAATAAGTACCGGTACGATGCGCACATGCAGCACGTAGCATGTACATCTACATGAAAATGACTTCTCCACTACACACAAGTCAGGTCCGAAAGTTAGTTCGTGCCCGAAAGTCAGTACCCGCCCGAAAGTTAGTACGGCTGTGGTCACTAAATTCGAAAGTAAATACATACTTATTTACGGACTTTTACGGTAGTGTGTCACGGCTCTACCTTCCGAATTCCCGGTATCGAGCTCTCTTGGATTTCTGCTGGAATTCACAACAGTGTGTAATATTATATACATGTACGTTACCATGGCATTAGACCGGCATACGTCACAATGGTACTAGGCTTCTATATGTTGCCATGGTATTACTCTCCTGCTCTTCCATGGTATTACTCTACTGCACTTCTATGCGTTTCCATGGTATTCGACCTCTTTACGTTACAGTTAGACCTCGCCTATCCGGTCCTTTTTTATCCCGTCCTCTTCCCTCGCCATGCGGAAGAAAATAGCTGGTTACAGATGTACATGTACAGCATTCGTGATGCATACAATAAAACCGGTGCTCGGTTATCCGGCTCCCTCGCCTATCCGAACATTTTTTGTCCTACCACGGTAGTAGACGTCTAGCATGACATGAAGAGTGCATGTACAGAACTCCAAGAATGTACAACTGCCTGCACTGCTTCTATGCCGTGCGGCAACGGCAAAACTTCACATCTCGTGACATGGCTCAAACGGTGGGAAACAGTCGGAAATGACCCTAAGAGAGTTGAACCCAAAGCAGGTTTGCGTACAAACCTGTAACTATCATCAAGACCATGTAAAGCTCCCAAGAGTGTGCAGCTTTGCATATGGGGTCTCCGATGGCGTAGTCGGATCTTCTGATGTCATGCGTACACTCCACACCGGGGCAAAAGCCCGGTCTCGAGGCAGGGCACCGTTGTTTTTGATCCGAGAGTACCCGCGACTCCCCGGGTTCCCTTCAGATGTGTACGGTATTATGACGCAAAGATCCGATTACGCTCGACCAAGACCCTATGCAGAGCTGGATCAGGTGGTTCCGTAGGTAACCGTAGGTTCTAGGGGTCAAACGGGTGTACCTTTAACTAACGAACGGGTAATTTTCTTAACGGGCGGGTTAACGGGTACCCTTTAGCAGCCATATTATTTTTTTGCGCAGTTCTCACATAAATCATGATTTAAATTTGTATATTCTCAGGTTGTATTTTGATACTACATTATGATTCGCAATTGATTCGTGTATTATAATATTATTATGGCAATGAAGGTTCCAAATGAATGTCATCCGTGCATTCGCCCATGTACATAACTTCACAGGCAGTAACAGTATGTTCCTACAAGCTACATGTATTTTGATACACTCAATCTGCGGATACATGTACGCAAATCAACTGCAGATCGATGTGATTCAAGCCATGCAAGGCGTTGCATTCAGAAGATGTTCGCACCCATAGCTAGCTGGGGTGCCTGACACAGCTGATGTGCTGCTGGCCAGCTAGCTGCTAGTGCTAGCTTGTTGAACTCGTGAAATGAATCTTCACAAATCCGTAATCTTGTATGCAATATTTTGAACTACTTTTCAGCTCGTCGATTGAAGGAACAAACTACAACCATGAGTATCATACATGCAGCTAGCACCTACGGACATCACTGTGTGTGACACTCCGACTGGTCACTCAGCCTGGTGACTAGTTCATCAAGTACTGTGGCAGGTTCGATGACGGAGAACCATCGTAACTTTCTAGTTACTAGTACTCAGCTGCCACCTCGAACGAGTTTCAAGTCTTGCATTTTCTCACATCACAATCAAAAACCTCCAGTACGAGGATTTTTACTTGTACTGTACTAGAGACGAGTGGAGAGAACAACTGTCAAGTCTCTCTTTCAGCCTGCTCCTGCCTGATAAAGTCGAAAGCGGGAATGCACAGGAAAAAGGAAAAGAGTATCCGCACTCCTATTTAAATTTCTGAGTCTTGGAATACGATAGGATCACCTTTTTTTTTTTTTTTTTTTTTTTTTTTTTTTTTACAAACGGGTACCCTTTTACTAACGGTACCTGAGATTAACGGGCGGGTACCCGGGTACCCGGTACACCCGTTTGACCCCTAGTAGGTTCCGGACTAAAAGCCGCACTTTGATCAATCAAAATTCACCACAAAGGAGGCGGGGAGGGTGCGGCTTATACCGATGATCAAATTAATGGTGGTAAATACAGGCGCGTAGCACCGCCGTTGGCGGTGGTCCGGCCGGGGGGGGGGGGGAGGGTCCGGGGGATCTCCCCCCGTAATTTGTTTGAAATTAGGGTGCAAAATCCTGCATTCTGGGCACTTTTGGCATTGTTTTACTATGGTGGTCGTGGTCAGGCGAAAAAGTGGTCCGGCCAAAGCCGGAGCGGCTGCTACGCCCCTGAAATAGGATAGAGGTCTGTATTTGGTGCCAAAAATTGGGGGGGGGGGGTGCGGCTTAACACTGTTATACTCCAGTGCGGCTTATACTCCAGTGCGACTTATACTCCAGTGCGGCTTACACTCCAGTGCGGCTTACACTCCAGTGCGGCTTATACTCCGGAAAATACGGTACTCTATGCTGTGCTGTCTCCGCGTTGATCAGCTGTGGTGATCAGCTGTGGTGATCAGCTGTGGTGATCAGCTGTGGTGATCAGCTGTGGTGATCAGCTGTGGTGATCAGCTGTGGTGATCAGCTGTGGTGATCAGCTGTGGTGATCAATACATGAAGCTTTCATATAATTCAAACTACCGTATACCACAGATGGACCTTTTCGGGCTGTGAAGAAAAGGGAAACATGCCAAAGTGCAAGGAGTGCACAACATTTCCACCGTTACGATACGCCGCTATACATGTCAGGGAATAATTTAACCTGTATTGCATCGCACTTTGCTACGCAATTCTTCTGAGGTGCGAAGGAACTTCAGAAATGTGTCGCAGAAAACTGCGATGCATGTCGATTTTTCACTGTACCCTATGATGCACAGTGTACATGCCAGGTGTGTCTCTTAGGGATAAAATACATGCACAGAACTTCAAAAGTGCTGAGCTATGCATCCTGGCACCAGGCTAGGTTTGCAACTAAGGTGTTACAGTGTATTTGTGATCTGAGCTTGCACTCTGATCAGCTCTCCGGAAGGCCCGTTGTCAAGCGTTGAAGAAAATTGCTACGCAACATTTTTGAATTGCTATTCAAGTTTGATTTTGCATAGCAATCTTTTGCTATGCAAAAGATTGAAAGATTGAAAGTAAATTATTCCCTGCATGTATACGGTACGGGGCAGTGCTCGGACTGGGAAAGATACGCTACTGTGCTGTAGGTTGCCGAAGAACCAGGGGGGGGGGGGGGGGGGGGGATCAGCCTCCTAACCTACAAGACTGTTCCTATTTTCATGTACTACGGTCTATGCACAGTTGAGTCACCGTGTATACATTGGTATGCTCTGCTTGGTGGAATCCTAGCCTGGTCGTTCTTTCGGCGCCCCACAGTACTGTATGAAAGCATCAGTATGAGTATGTTGATACGAATCATAGTCGGAAACAGGGTCATGAGAACGAAACACGCAAGAACACTCCGCCTGCTTTTTTTTACTATAAAGAACACACCCCTACTGATAGGCATGTGGAGACAAACACAAAACAAGGCACAGGGGATGTAGGGACGACGTGCCGATGTACCGTGGGGAGCAACTCGACCGACCAGATATTGCACTCCTTATCCCCTCTTGTACCTGCAACCGCACCTGCACATTGCTGTCCTTATCTTGCCTGCTACTTGATGCCGGGCTGGACTTGGTGGAAACTTAAGCTGTGTTCACAACTGGCGCGTGTACGCGTGAAACCACGCGTTTGTGCGTATTTTTGCTGGCTTTTGGGGCGCCGAAATGGAAATTCCAACATGTTGGAATTTTCAGCGCGTATCAGGCGCGTACCAGCGTACCTGCCCGTCACTTTGACTGGCGGGGTCAACAAATTAGTACTCGAAGGTATCGCACACGCTTAATACGACTCGGATTGCTGTTTTTTGTGAAAGCTTGAGCGCGCGTTTGGGCACGCATGAACCGCAAGCGTACCACGTCCACGCGCCAGTTGGGAACACAGCTTAAAAGTCATGATGAACAAGTTGTGGAACTTGTGTGTGTGGGGGGGGGGGGAGACGACTGATGTTCACTTGTGTACGTACGTATGTACGTGTGTGTGGGGGGGGGGGGTGCGTGTGCATGTGTGTTTGTACATGTACCGTAAAATCGCGGATAAAAGCCGGGTTTGCATACAAGCACATCGCGGATAGAAGCCTGAAAATCAAATGGCTCAAATGCATATAAGCCTGTCGCGCGTAGAAGCCTGGCTTCTATGCAAGCGCGGATCGGGTAGGTCAAGAGTGCATGCACTATGTGCAGTGCATAGTAAAACTGCCGCCATACCGGTAGTCAGTGGTAGATCTACGCGTGTCGCGCGTAGAAGCCTGGCTTCTATGCAAGCCCGGATCGGCCGATGTGCATTCAAGCCTGGCAAAAATATCAGTGGTGCATATAAGCATGGTTTGCATACAAGCCTGGTTTGCATTGAAGCCTGATGCAGAAAGCGGCTTATGTGCTTATGAGCCCGGCTTTTATCCGCGACTTTACGGTATGTGTGTCCATGTGTATCTCTGTGTACTTGCATCCTTTTTGAATATGCCCCACCCTACACACGCACACACTGACAGGTATGAAAATTGACAATGGACGTCACGTAGCCATCAAATTGGAGCGCACCTCCTCCAGCGGCCCGGAGCTTTTGCAGCGGGAAATGCGTGTCTATCGGCGTATAGACAGATCAGGTATGAGAACAATGTACATACACGTGCACATACACACACACGCACATACACATACACACACGTGCATGTACTGTACATGCACGTGCACATACAGTTGGGCTCTGTGAAATCCGACCACATAATGAATATTTGGAGCAATCAACTTGCTGACCGTGATCATGTGACCCATATATGCAGAGAATGCCAGGGATTGGAGTGGAGTTGGAACCAACATGGCTGTCCTGTATACTGTCATGTGATAATGATAGATGTGCAACTGCTCTCTACTCAGACCCGTCTGAAAGACTTGGTATGTGTGCACCGCGTACATGATGACTCCAACAAGACCACGTGTGTGTGTGGGGGGGGGGGTGCATGGGTGTGTGTGTGTGTGTGTGTGTGTGTGTGTGTGTGTGTGTGTGTGTGTGTGTGTGTGTGTGTGTGTATGTGTATGTGTGTGTGTCACAGCATGTGTGTGTGGGTACGTGTGGGTGTCTATGTGTGTGCATGTGTGCATGGTGTATGTATGTAAATGTCCATGCATAGCTGTTGGTCTACCAAAGGCTTACTGGATGGGTGTGGAAGGCAGGTACACTATGATTATCATGGAGTTGCTGGGCCCAAACCTGGAGGAACTGCTCCATCATTGCGGCAGGTGCTTCTCACTCAAGACACTACTCTCCGTTGCAGAGCAAATGGTAAGAGAAATACGCTAACCATACCCACATAACCAGCTAGATCCCCATAGTCAGATATATTCCCATGGCCAGACGTATCCCCTCAGCCAGACATATCCCCATAGCCAGACACCCCCATATCCAGACATATCCCCATAGCCAGTCATATCCCCATAGCCAGTCATATCCCCATAGCCAGACATACCGTAAAAGTCCGTAAATAAGTACGTATTTACTTTCGAATTTAGTGACCACACCCGTACTAACTTTCGGGCGGGTACTGACTTTCAGGCACGAACTAACTTTCGGACCTGACTTGTGTGTAGTGGAGAAGTCATTTTCATGTCGATGTACATGCTACACACTGCATGTGCGCACCGTACCGGTACTTATTTCGGGCAGTATGTTTATCAGGCTTGACTTGACTTCAACAGACAGAGCCAAAAAGAATGAAGGGGGTATTTCTTTCGGGCAGGTACTTATTTACGGACTTTTACGGTATCCCCATGGCCAGACATATCCCCATAGCCAGTCATATCCCCATAGCCAGACATATCCCCATAGCCAGACATATCCCCATAGCCAGTCATATCCCCATAGCCAGACATATCCCCATGGCCAGACATATCCCCATAGCCAGTCATATCCCCATAGCCAGACCTATCCCTATAGCCAGACCTATCCCCATAGCCAGTCATATCCCCATGGCCAGACATATCCCCATAGCCAGCAGTGGCGTAGCTCGGGCAATATTTGTATGGATACAAGATATCTTTGGCCAACCAAGTCTAGATGTATTTGAGGTTCTTGATACAGATAACACATGTTATTCCACTACAAGAAAAAACGACATGTAGAGGCTAGGCGAACTATCTGGCAGTTGCAATATACAATAGAGAAGCGTGTACTTCAGTAATTGATAGCAAAAGTTAGCACACTGTTTCAATTTTATATAAACAGTTTTAAAACACAGCCTTTGTGCTATGCTTACGAGTCCGCAATGGACGAAACAGTTCCGCCCACAGATTGAGTAAATTACAGGTTCTGTATTGTATGCAGCATTAGCAACAAATACATGATACTGGTTCAGAGTGGTGTGAGCCGTGGCGTTCACACAATATTTGAGAGAATGATGCTCCGTGGTTTAGTTGCTGGCGACTAGAAAACTGTTGACCTAGTTGATGGCCAAACTTGTTGCTCTCCCCTCCAAAATATGGGTATGTGAAACAAAACCCATCACTCACGCACTTGGAAATGGTCAGCCAGGCGTAGGCTTCCAGCCAGGCAAATGTAATACCAATAGCACGCGTGTACATGCATGCACACACACACACACACGCATACACACACGCACACGCACACACACACACGCACATACACACACACACACACACCTGGTCCTGGTCCTGGTAAACACTGCCATTACGGTCACGTGTCCCCTCGCGGGGCCGACAACATGGAAAACGACGCGCGACGGCAGAAAGTCGGCAGTCCGCCGAGAGATCAGGGACCATGTTCAATCGGCACGACGAGAGAGCCATCTTCGGCAGCTATGGATTTGGAATCCACGAGTAGAGCGGCAGCACCGACCACAGGCCCCACAGTGGGCCTTGCAGCATGAGAGGGCGAGCCGCACACGTGGCGGTGGAGGAGTCGCCTGAGCAGCAATGGTAGACACCGCCGCCCGGCACGGAGCCCGAGACGATGTCGTGGGGAGCATCCGGGAGTTGGGGCACTTGTGGACCGCCAAACCTCCGGCACTGCGGAACCAGCGCTCGCAGGAAGAACATTGTCGGCTACCTCTCTGTTCTGATACAGGTTTGCGGCGCTCATCGAGGCATTTATGACGAGGCAAACCACTCCTGGAGAAGAGACGGCCACACTCGGCACAAGGTATCCGCAGGGGCTCACAAACGGGTTCGGGCGGGGGCAGAACATTGCAAGCGGCCCGCCATTCCCGTCTATCCTGGGCCAAGTCATACCATTCGTCGATGCCCAACACCGCCAGATCCTTCCGCGCAGCATCGCGCCACCTCTTCCTCGGGCCGCACATTGGACGGACAGGATGTAGGGTGCCAAACAGTAGTTGACGCGGGGCACGCTCCTCATGCATTCGCACAACATGCCCAAGCCACGCACACACACACACACACACACACGAAGTAGACACCAGAACACAGAGAATGGATATCAAACTTTGCCAAACTGTCTTTACATCCGCTCGTCCATCCGTCTGTCTGCGTGCATGTACCTACGCCTACACATCCACACACATACACCACACGACGCGTGCACGTGTGTATACAGGTGACACGACTGCAGCTGCTGCATCACATGGGATTTATACATCGCGACATCAAACCCGATAACTTTGCCATTGGCTCGGGGTCACACCGGGACAAGATCTACTTGTTTGACTTTGGCCTCTCAAAGTTCTACATGGACCCTGACACTCACCAACACATACCATACGATGATGACAAACCACACGATGCGGTGGGAACGGCACGATACTGCAGTCGACGCAGTCACCTTGGTATCGGTAAGCTGCTGCTGCTGTTGCTGCTGCTATGGGCTTGCCTCCGGGGGGCTTGCGACTATTTCTATATACCAGGTAGGGAGCAGTGATCGTTGCCCGCCACCAACAACTTAAAGGCTCCTGATTCCAACCGGGCTTTCTCATGCGAGAAGGAGGATGGGAGAGGAGAGAGGGGTGATGGGACATATGAGAAGGGGGGGGGGGGGTGCGGAGGCATTACGGATATGGGGAGATTAGGATTGGGGAAGCAAGAGACAAGGGAGGGGAGGGGCGTGAGCGGAGATGAGGAGAAAGGTGTAGGGGATGGGAAGGTGAGAGGGGAGAAGGGGGGGGGGGGGGATGGGGAGGAGGATGATGATAGGAGAGTGGTAGGAGGCTAAAAAATATGGGGATATTGGGATTGGGGAGGTTACAGGCAAGGGTAGGAGGTTAGGGGGGCAAGAGGCAAGGGGGTGGGGGATGGGAGGCAAGAGGGGAGATGGGGAGAAATGTGTAGGTGGGGGGGGGGGCGAGAGGGGAGAAGGAGAGAAGGAGAGGGGGGGGGGGGGTATGATTCATGCAGCATATTTGTTTGAGTGGACTATACACATGTTTCAATGTGTCATGATCTCTGTCCTTGTCTGCACACTCTCCTTGCTGTAGAGCAAAGTCGCCGTGACGACCTGGAGTCGGTCGGCTATGTCTTGGTGTACCTGCATAATGGCCGGTTGCCATGGCAAGGTTTGAAAGCGCGGAACAAGCGGCAGAAATACGATCTGATATCCATAAAGAAGCACAGCATACGCACGGATAAACTGTTCGAAAACCTGCCAAGTAAGAGCGAGATCTGTACCAGAATTTTTCACTTTTTTCTACTTTTCTGAGTGTTTCTTGCTACCATGAATAGGCAGCGAGATATTCTTGATTCCCTCGATATAACATAAAAATTATGTTATACCGGTCACAGTTAGCGAAGATTCTACAGTTTGCATGATACATGCCCAACCGTCACTCGAAAAAAAACAGAGCTTTGTCGGCTTGTGATGTGCGCTCTGATTTCTGAGCTAATTGCGTCCACAAGTAGAAACTAGAACACGATGTGCCTCCACTGGAAGGCCAAAAGACCAACAAATTATGTACTATTGAGGTAGGTGGCATGCGGGTACGGAGAAATGTTATGTACTAACGGGGTTTATGTACTAACGAATTATGTACTAACCGACAAAATTTGTATGGAAGTGACTACGTTTCGTCCGGGACTTGAGATTTCTTATGTACTAACGGGGTTTATGTACTAACCGGACTCGTATTAACGGGGGACGACCTGTAACGGGAAAAAATTAGTCGTTAAAACGTTAGACTTTCCGGTTTTACAGTAGCAGTTGGACCTTTTGATACCCATACAAAGTGTATTTCCCTGATTATAACTTGATATAAGTCCGACACCTTTCCCCGCTGAGCTTCAATGGCAACGAAGGGATGTGACTCAGTGCAATTGAACGTGACATGCAGCTTGTGTGAATTAAAACCTGAAACTGAAGGTGAGACTTATACGTGTGGAGATACGTAACGGTATGGTGCTGTGTTTGGAAAGTGTTTTCATGTTGAAAAGCACAAATTGTAGCTTCAGACGGTTGCCAAAATAATGTGTTGCCTTCTCCGAAAACTGCCAATCTCTTTCTATACCCGGCCCATGTCTTTCCTCTTTGTCAGTCTATAGTCTGTCTGTCTATGGCGTGTGCTCTTTCAGGGGTTTCATACAATAGACATGGTTAGCATTTTACCGTTCACGCTATTTTCGACGGTCGGCGTGTAGAGGGCGAGTCTACTGTTTTTGATGTGTTTTCGAGACACAGGTAGCAGTTCGGCTTCTGAGTCCTGACTCCTGACGCAACGATAGACGTGTGAGGTAACCCTAGTTAGAATCTTACCGTTTCGTTCTCCCGCTAAAAAGAGCATTCTATCGTCGAAACGGTACCAAACCGACGGTATTTTGGGTTTGGGGTTCGAGTACCGTTGGATCTAGCTCGTGAACTGTAAAATGCCATGTCTACACACACAAAAACGGTTCAGGTCTACCGCCGAAAATAGCGTGAACGGTAAAATGCTAACCATGTCTACTCTCTACCACCACTATCCCAACGGTGTAATTATGCTCTTTCATGTTAGTATCAGACACTCCACTGCGCTACAGTATTGACACTATTCTAACAACATCACTCTATAGTCTATACTCTCAGTCAGGGCCACCGGAACCTGTCCGGTTGGTCAGGTTATCACCGGACCAACTTTTCAGTCACCAACACATGTTTCCTACTGTGGAGGTGGACATGTGTACCCGCCATATCATACACAGACTGTATGGCAGGCACTGAAACTACCGGACCAATCAAGAACTGCTTCCGGCGGTCCTTCCCCCAGTAATCACGCTTGGCAGGGAAATGGGATGATTTTGGCTCTAAAATACAAAATGCCCCCCTCCCCCCCCCCCCCCCTTCCCCCCGGATACTATCTATGGTTGGTCATACCCCCTAAAACACTTTGTGCCACCCCTGACTTAGTCTTTGTGTGTTGCCGTTGTTGTTATTATTATTGTTATTTTTGTTGTTGTTGTTGTTGTTGTTGTTGTTGTGGTGGTGGTGGTGGTGGTTGTTGTTGTTGTTGTTGTTGTTGTTGTTGTTGTTGTTGTTGTTGTTGTTGTTGTTGTTGTTGTTGTTGTTGTTGTTGTTGTTGTTGTTGTTGTTGTTGTGGTGGTGGTGGTGGTGGTGGTGGTGGTTGTTGTTGTTGTTGTTGTTGTTGTTGTTGTTGTTGTTGTTGTTGTTGTTGTTGTTGTTGTGGTGGTGGTGGTGGTGGTGGTGGTGGTGGTGGTGGTGGTGGTGGTGGTTGTTGTTGTTGTTGTTGTTGTTGTTGTTGTTGTTGTTGTTGTTGTTGTTGTTGTTGTTGTTGTTGTTGTTGTTGTTGTTGTTGTTGTTGTTGTCGTCGTTCGTCGTTGTTTTGCAGGGGCATTTCTCCACTACATGGTCTGTGTACAGCAAATCCGGTTCAGAGAGACACCTGACTATTCTCAGCTCAGACAAATCTTCCGCGCTCTGTTCTTCCAGAAGCGCTATCGTCGAGACTTCACGTTTGACTGGGATCTGAACGTAAGGCCTGTGATCTGTTTCGCGCTGTGCCTGAATGCTTTGCTAGCAGTTCCGTGTCTGTATACCTTGCTGGCAGATAAGACATGCTCTCTTGTGCCTTCCCGTGTACACACGCTTCCTCCAGCTTCTCTGCTTGCCCTGTTTTGCTGTGGCTGGGTGTGAGTCCGCTTTCAACGTGTCCTATTAGCTCTCATTCTACCAACGATGGAGTCCATGGCTAACCCGGTGGATATGTAACTGGGAAAAGGAGAATTGGTGTAAAACCATTCTCGGTGTGTGTGTGTGTGTGTGTGTGTGTGTGTGTGTGTGTGTGTGTGTGTGTGTGTGTGTGTGTGTGTGTGTGTGTGTGTGTGTGTGTGTGTGTGTGTGTGTGTGTGTGTGTGTGTGTGTGTGTGTGTGTGTGTGTGTGTGTGTGCATGGTACATGGTGTGTGTGTGTGTGTGTGTGTGTGAAAAAAAAGAAAAAAAAGAAAAAAAAGAAAAAAATGGAAAAATGAAAAATAGGGATTCACTGGCCAGAAAAAGTCACTTCAATCAGCTGTGTGGTGGATACCAGGCTAAAAATAGTGGCGGTCAATTCATCAGCCTTGCAAGCTGTTGAATGGTGTAATCCCAGCACAAGTTGCTATGTCTAACATTGCTGTTCGCTATCATCGCTTCCGCGATGGGCAGGTCTGAGGTGTGTGTGTGTGCATCCCAGCACAAGTTGCTATGTCTAACATAGCTGTTCTCTATCATCGCTTCCGCGATGGGCAGGTCTGAGGTGTGTGTGTGTGCATCCCAGCACAAGTTGCTATGTCTAACATAGCTGTTCTCTATCATCGCTTCCGCGATGGGCAGGTCTGAGGTCTGAGGTCTGAGGTGTGCATGTGTGTGTGTGTGTGTGTGTGTACTTACATCTACGTCCAAATCTGCAGGAAGTCGACAGAGCGGAGAAGTCAAAATATCTCCGCAAAGAGCGTGGGATTCCTGACCCGCCGGAACCCAAGACTGAAGATAAAACAGAAGAATAGCGTCCAAATCAAAACAAAAGGTATGTTTCAACAATAACTATGTACTTGTAGCTGTTTTGTTCAGGACATTAATGACAGTAAGGACTGCTCCCATGATGGACACTAGGGTAGATTATGTCATACCGTTTGCACGCGGTGATACTCGTATCCGTTGGATACCCTGGTATCAAGAGTACATGAAAACCAGAGTGTGCAGCTTGGGGCCTTTCACAAGTTCTACTACGGGTGTCTGTTACGGCGGAATTCCATGATTACATCATATTTGGCGCAGATCTGAGGCGGGAAATGGCGTAGTCCGTACAACTGAGCTGCAGTTGTGCAGAAAGAGACCTGCCTGCATCCTGCTTGTACGCACTACATCACTAAAATGATTCACGAAATTCCGCCGTGACAGCAACCCATCCGAGCTGCACACTCTGGTTTTCATGTACTCTTGCTGGTATCCATGGTGACGCTCGTATCCAAGGCAACAGTTGTATTCGTGAAGACACTCGCTTGGCAGGAAACGCATGAGCAGCTTCTTTTTGAACGGGGGCATGGTCTTTTCTTCACAATGTAAAACAACGTAAATCTGGTAACAGTCAGCTTGAGAACGGAGATCATGGGAAGTAACCATTTCTGAACCGATTGTGCACTTTATCTTTTGTCTCCAGCAGAACCTGTGTGGGCCCGGCTCTTGGTGGTGGGTTACCCCCGGTTACAGGAAGATTATCAGTGTTCAACGTTTCATGCTCTGCTCAGTGTCACATCAAGGGAGAAACAGACTTGGGTTTCGTGCGAGCCATCAGCATGCATAGAGTGTGTCACCGTTTGTCATCATTTATACCTTGGTCATCTATCCAGTGAAGACGACATGATTGTATGTGTTTTTTTTTACTATTGGCAAGAGTACATAACCCCGCCTTGTGTGGACGTCTGGAAATACATGCACGTGTGCAAGATCCATTGCATCATAGAATTGTCGGACTGAGAAAATTTTACTTCAACTTGAGATCCTGACGGGATAGCGGGATATGTGCTCTAATGGATAGCGCTGCAGAATGGTGCCTGGTCAGGCGCGGGGAGTAGTAAAATACCCACTCCCTGGTCAGAAGTAGGGAGTAGTAAAATACCTACTCCCTGGTGAGAAGTGACATACCAGGCACTTTGTGTCTGCAATGTACATAAAAAAAACTGGCCGATCCATCACTTACTTACTGTCAGTATCCGGTTGCCATTACATTTGCATAATATGCTGGTGTAGAATATTAAAAAGATCTGGTCCCAACCATCTGGGAGTAGCAACGAACTTATCTCGGCTACCCATTGCTCAATGACTAGTGTGCCGGTATATTGAGGCTGGTACATGTGTGTGTGTGTGTATGAACAACGTCACAAGCAATGCTGCGCTGGCTGGTACCAAGAGTGCATAGTCCACCAAGAGTGTGCAACTCCCACATGCCCTGCTGTCCGGACAGAATTTCAAGCAGACGTATTTGTATGATGCAATGCTCCTTCCGCGAGTGATTTATGACCTTTGTACGGGCTGTCAATGCAAATCCAGCCGGGACAGCACCCATAGTCGAGTTGCACATTCTTGCGGGGATATGTACTCTTGCTAGTACCACATGTACAGTCTGTATTATGTGTGTGTGTGTGTGTGTGTGTGTGTGTGTGTGTGTGTGTGCGCGCGCACGCGCGTATGGCTGTTTGAACGGATTTGCACCACTGCACCAAATGGTGGGGATTCTCCAATGCAGAGTGGTCGCCTTGAAAGGTTTTAGTGTACAGGAAAACCTGTCAAGGCGACCGACCACCTGTCCTAAAAGACCACTGAATCCATTCTATTTCCGACAGTCGAATGACCCTGGATAAGGAGACCACCTGGTAACAGAGACCAAGTTTTGAAAGTCCCTTGAGAGCAGTCGCCTTGAAAGACTTTAGTGTACTGTTAAGCGTGAAATTTTCGCGGCGTTTTTAGTTCGCGTTTTCAGAATCCGGACAGGTTTGCGAGGTTTTAATTTTGCGATTGCAGAATTTGCTACTGTGGCATTCATGCTACACCTTCCATGGATCTACTTTTCGCGCTGTCTAAATTTCGCGATTTCCACGCGGTCGCGAATTTCGCAGAAATTAGACCATCGCAATAGTTTCACGGTTTACAGTAAGTAGATGTGAGACTAGGTGTGTCTAGTCGGTATGTGTGACAGTTGTGTAGCCCCGGCCTTCTGACGACTCCTTGCCACGAGTACTAGAAAAAACTACTGCCGTGTGTGAGACATGTTAATATGAGTTGCAAATTTAATGATTGCCCAAAATTCGTACTTGAAGTAGGTTGGCGAGACGATACGATAACGATCTAGCAGTCTTTAGCCGTATCCGCACATGACACATATGTTGCATAACAGCCTCAACAGAACGAATTATAGCGAAGAAATGTCACTCCTTTTAAAAACATTAGATTAACTTCCTCGTTATATTTACATGTCTTACAGTATGTTGGAGTGGTTGCTGTTTCTACAGTCGTGGCCAAAGAAATCCTACCCGTGTCTTGAGCCGAAAGCAGCGCCAAGGCTCATGCGGGCCACCGTGGTCCCCGGACAGGTTTTGGACCATGTATGATGTCATTGACATGGAAACACAGCGCATCACTTCTGACTCATGCGTCGGATTTCTTTCGCCATGGCTGCACTGAAGAGGAAGAGGGAGAGAGAGAGAGAGAGAGAGAGAGAGAGAGAGAGAGAGAGAGAGAGAGAGAGAGAGAGAGAGAGAGAGACAGACAGAGACAGAGAGAGAGAGAGAGAGAGACACACACACACACACACACACACACACACACACACACACACACACACACACACACACACACACACACACACACAGGCAGACGCAGACAGAGAACGAGATAAGATGAGGAACAGGTAAGATAAGAACAACACTCGAGCACCCAGTCGGAGAAAACAGTCCCTTGCTTCCCTTCACAGCTGACCACAAGATAGAATTCAACAATGCACACATCAAGAGACGGAACCCACAGTCCCACACCACATCAGCGGACAGGTCTGCAGTACTGCCGGGCGCCGAAGAACAAACAGGCTAGGACTCCCCCAAGAACAAACTGGCTAGGACTCCCCCAAGAACAAACAGGCTAGTACTCCCCCAAGAACAAACAGGCTAGTACTCCCCAAAGAACAAACAGGCTAGGACTCCCCCAAGAACAAACAGGCTAGGACTCCCCCAAGAACAAACAGGCTAGTACTCCCCCAAGAACAAACAGGCTAGTACTCCCCGAAGAACAAACAGGCTAGTACTCCTCCAAGAACAAACAGGCTAGTACTCCCCCAAGACCAAACAGGCTAGGACTCCCCCAAGAACAAACAGGCTAGGACTCCCCCAAGAACAAACAGGCTAGGACTCCCCCAAGAACAAACAGGCTAGTACTCCCCCAAGAACAAACAGGCTAGGACTCCCCCAAGAACAAACAGGCTAGGACTCCCCCAAGAACAAACAGGCTAGGACTCCCCCAAGAACAAACAGGCTAGTACTCCCCCAAGAACAAACAGGCTAGTACTCCCCCAAGAACAAACAGGCTAGGACTCCCCCAAGAACAAACAGGCTAGGACTCCCCCAAGAACAAACAGGCTAGTACTCCCCCAAGAACAAACAGGCTAGGACTCCCCCAAGAACAAACAGGCTAGGACTCCCCCAAGAACAAACAGGCTAGGACTCCCCAAGAACAAACAGGCTAGGACTCCCCCAAGAACAAACAGGCTAGGACTCCCCCAAGAACAAACAGGCTAGGACTCCCCCAAGCACAGCATACGGACATACATGTACACACAGGGACTCCACTGCGTATGGACTGTAGTTCCAGAAAAATAAGAACGTCTTCAGCTACAGCTGTCTGACTGCCAGATCTTCAGTACCCAACAGTACGGTACGTGATTCCAACAGGAAAACAGGAAATCAAGAAAATTGTCTGACAACACCATCTGGAGATGCCCTTATCCATTTAATACCGTATTTCCCCGATTATAGGGCGCACTCGATTATAAGTCGCACCCCCCATTTCCAGGTTTGAGTCATAATTATTGTTTTGATATATTGACTTCAGTAGTAAGTCATGCTCGATTGTAAGTCACACCTCCTTTTTCACCCTTGGTTTTTAGTGTAAAAAGGTGCGACCTATAATCGGGGAAATACGGTAATTGCGATGAACAAAAAGTATACTTTGTGAGGTCGAACAGGTTCTACAATACTGGCAAACACACCACATCATAATCGTGTGCAAGACGGGGAAGGATTGAAGAAAACACATAATCGTGTGCAAGACGGGGAAAGGATTGCAGGAAAGCAGCTAGCACCGGTGGAATGCACAACACACAAAAAAATCAATGCCATATATAGCGGGTGCACAGAGAGCTAGCCACATCCGGCCTATGCAATACGGTATACCTGCTGCTGGATTATACCGTAGCCCAAATACGTCACATGATAGGTGTTAAGAAGGGTGGGACTAGCGCTAGCAGAGCTTGACTGCATATCTGTAGATCATACTGATGTCTCTTGGTATGAAATGAAATCAAGGGAGTATGTTTAAACAGAGGACGTATCCAAAGCAGGGCAATCACACTCGGTGGCAGCGGCGGTCGAAGTCCCTTGCTGAGCAATCTAACGACGGCATGTGCAGACATAGGTACTGTAGTTCAGGTGTATCCGTGTGTGCACGTGCATAACTATGTAGATCACTTTATCGGTATTGCAGACACTCACATACACACGCACACACACGCGCACACACACACATACATGCGCGCACACACACACACACACACACACACACACACACACCAGGTCCACCATGTACTACAGTCTAACCGCCGAGTAACAGCGCGCATTCAGCGTGAACTTCAACGCTACACCAATATCACTGCTCAAGGCCAAGCGTAAGGCTCTGGTGGCCCTGTGCCTCGAAGGTACGCTCTCGTTCGCTTTATATCGTTGATCAGATCAACATAGCCAGGCGGGCGTCTGTATACGTCACCAGTGACGTCATCAATCTCCTCCGAACCCGGTATGATGAAGCAGGCGAACACGATGAAGACGCAGAGAGTGGTGTGCACCACGTAACGGACTCGCATCGCCTTGCGATGACGCAGCGCCATCTCCTCTGTGCGACCATTGGCATCGGCCACGGCCAGGCGATACGCCATCGACTCGGAATAAGCAGTACCAGCCGCAGCAACGTCAGCTGGCAGGTCGTTCGATGCCTTCACTGCATACTCATCAGCGTTTGCAGGTTTCACATTGCGAACTGCCTCGATAATGCCAGCCTCGGACGAAACGGCAGAGGATGCTTCAGTAGCCGAAGCCGAGGTGGTGGCTCCGCTTGGCGTACTGGCAGACTCTGCGCCAGTGTTGTTGTCCTGTTTCGAACTATTCAATGATGAGGAACTGCACAGGAATCGTCTGCCCTGGAAACGAAGGGTCAACGGTGCAACACGGAGCACTGATACATTTCTGCCCAGAAGGCAAGATAGCTGAGACGCCATGGCGTTCAGACTTGACGTCGCAACGCTGGCACAGCTGCCAAACAAGAATGTCGAGGAGCTTTTGTCGAGATCTTCCTCCAAGCGATCCTGCCGCCCTGCTCAACACATCACTTTTTTTTGTTCTGAAGCTGCTGTCGAGCTTTTCTTTCTGGCAACGAGTTGTTTTGCGGAGTGACATCATTCATCTCTGGAAAGTTTTTCCTCGCGTTTTTCAGACTTTTGCGTGCAAAGCGTGCATTTTGCAATTTTTGAAGCCAGTGAAAGTCGATCCGGAGTGGTATCTCATAAAGAACGTTCCAAACTCGGCTGGATGCGATCCGGGGACCAGTGCGCGGTTGCGATGGTGACGATTTCACGCAACGGCCGAGTACGAGTGGCGACGAAAGAGGCCATCGTGCAGCTTTTTGAACATCCGCCAAATCAAATCGCCACCTACTACCAACAGATCATTCACTCACTGGCACTACAACTCCATCATCAAGCGGCTGTCCAAGCTCTGCTTGTCCAGGAGTGCAGGTGTGGTTTTCAGGTCGAGATACGATACGAGCGTAGCTTTGTTTTCTTGTCCATCGCCAAGCTAGGAACTGGTCGCGTCCGCAAACTGACTTTGACCGGGAGCAGTATTCCTTCAGGACTGGTTTGCGGTGCTGGCGCAAGCATGGCTTCACGAACGCCGAGAAGGTAAATAAATTCATGTCTAACATCTCCTGACAATGCTCCCGAAGCTTCGAATCCTATTGTATGAGTTTGGAACTAACTTGAAAGCAGATGTGGAAAAGTTTACTGATGCTGCCACACATGCGTTATCTTGACAGTGAAAAAAAAACTCGCTGAGGGCATTCTCTGTCCTGTCCAAACAGTTTCATATGCTTGTGCATGTGCATAATATGTGTAGTACTGTTATTCATTTGAATTGTTCTCGTGTTTCTTCAAAACCAGTCCCATATGACTTCTGTTTGTAATGGGCTTTATGATGTGAAGTTATGGAGCCCAGAAGCTCACCTGTGGGTCGAGGATTTTTTTATGCACCTACTCTCTGATGCAGTACTCAGCCAGTGCTTCTGTTTGGGAGGAAGCGAATGTGTTTAGTGCACACACACACACACACACACACACACACACACACACACACACACACACACACACACACACACACACACACACACACACACACACACGTGCACACACTCACTCAGACACACACACACACACACACACACACACACACACACACACACACACACACGTGGGGAATAAAATGCACTTTCTCTACATCAATATGATAACTGGCAGGTATCCATACCTGGCCTGCCGTCGTGCTCGATTCGTGCGGCGTTCCCGGAAACACTGCACATTCTCGCTGGTGTCTGTTGTGTACTACTACTACCAAGAGTATATAACCCCCCAAGAGTGTGCAACTCTCACATCACGTGTCTCAGATACGTACGTACTACGTACAAACAAAGGATAGCGTGCGCACAATCCGAATATCTGCCAGGATCATGCTGGGGATTTGTATACCCGCAGTGAGTTTCTGTCGGAGAGTGCTTTTTTTTATTACTCCGCTGCTCGCTAGAAACGGGCTGGAAACGTACAACTGGGACATTGCACCACGTGATGTGAGTTTTCGCCGTCGGCATACCCCATAGAAAAGGTATCAGGAGTTGCACACTCTTGGGGGGGGGGTTACCGTATATTCTCTATTATAAGCGCCGTGCTTATATTTTTTCAACACCCCTCTACCCCGTGCTTATATTGGAGACCGCGCTTATATTGGAGACCGTGCTTATATTTTTTCAACCAATACATCCATACAGGGCAAGAAGAAATACGTGCTAGATATCATGCATGCCGCATTGATTTCCACCAAGACCGTGCTAATTATAATAGAGACCGTGGTTATAATGTTTCGAAAGGTGCTCACAGTGTGCTAGTATTAGAGACTGTGCTAGTAATGGAGACCTGTGCTTATAATAGAGAATATACGGTATGTACTCTTGCTACTACTACATGATTGATGTTTGAACTTTCCTCTGTGATACTGGTGTTCTCTTGTTGTGATGATGTCTTGTTGCTGTTGACCATGCGTACATACATACACATACAAACACACACACACACACACACATACACACACACACACACATACACGCACGTGCACACACACACACACACACACACACACACACACACACGTGCACACAGGCGTAACGTACAGGTCGACGTGTCCGTACCTCGCCGTAGCCCGCGCACAGCCCCGATGAGCATCAGCGGACTGCATCCGGCCACACCAGTCGACTCCACTCTCATGACGCGTACAGAATTTCAGATTCTCACGCGCAGCGGCGGCGTCGGCGGCATTGGAACAGACGAGTTATCGTCGGCGTACCGGCATGCACTGGACGATTCGGAAAACGACGACACTCACTCGTCCGTCGTGTCTGCAAGTCCAGTGGCGGGCCACCGCAGGACCCCGCAGAAGAAACGCATAACGGCCAAGGCGACGGTAACTTCGTCAACGCGTCGTTCAACGCGACGGAAGGCTGCCGGTGAGTTGATCAGCATGTTTTCGCATGGGACGTTTCGTTTGGTTAAACTTTTAAAAAGTGTAGTTTACATTTTGACATGTACAGGAAAAGATAATAGTTTGTGTGCTACACTCTCCTGCCGTCCTGGGACTATCCCGAAATAAGGCAAATGAAACCGTAGCTTGCGTACGTTCAGCTCGGTCAACTCTTCCCGGTCGCTTCCCCAGTGTGTACGGTCCCCGTTACTCGTGTGTTCACGTGTGTCGCCGTCAGTCGGCATCATGAGTGTCCCGCAGTGCCCCGTCGAATGTGAACCAAGCTTTACTTGATTTAAATATCCGTTGTCCAGTCGGCTTGTCCCTTCATGTGCATTTGACACCGAATATTGTCTTGTGATTATTGGTAGCATGTATGACATGGTTCTGGAGTTTAGATTTTCTGCAGATACATTGGATCCATATGCGCAGGTACACATAGGTTGAGATAGTGGTGTGCATTGTACGAATGCCAGTTACAGTACCGCAAAGTACCGTTGATCCCCCCCCCCCCCACGCCATGTCGCTTCCCAGCTGGTTTTTCGGCAGGGGGCGGGAATTAGATCAAGGCTGTCAAGTGCAGTACGATGTACAACAACTTGGAGGATCAGACTCGGTGTGCTAAATTGTGCACATTTTCGTCCTGGATTGGCACATATTGTGTACAGCAGTGCAAGCGTCGGTTCAACATCGTATTTCGTTGTATACGACGAAATCGCTTCACAGGTAGAAAATCGACAGGGGGCGGGAATTAGAGAGGGAGCGGATCAACGGTACTTTAGGCCACACTTTGTTTTTTCTATGTTTCTCGTCATCGCCCGCGTAAGTTTTCAGAAATTTCGGAAGAAAAAAAAAGTTCATACTACCGTATTATCTCTAATATAAGCACGGTCCTTTATTTTTTCAATGTACCTCCGCCCCGTGCTATTAATGGAGACGTTCCTTTATTGGAGACTGTTCCATTATTATTTCAACCTCATTTCAGAGGCATGTTGCCATGCCAAATTCATGTATGACACACACATTTCAGGGTTTTTTTTTCGCCGGTACAGATAATGAATTTACACAGTGTGCTTATAATGGAGACTGAGCACTTTATTTTTTGAATGCCGCCCCAAGGTGTTCTATTATTGGAGACGTGCTATTATTGGAGACTGTGCTTATATTAGAGATAATACGGTACGTACCTGTGTACATGTATGTACGCTGCACATGCTGCAGCAGCTAGATGCGTCAATCAATAATCGTAAACGTTTGCACCACAGCATGCAGCAAAGGAGCGCTCCTCGTCCGTTCTCTGCGATGAAGGCTGTCATGACAAAGCTTTCAGTCGTTCACTGGCTGAGCTGAGCCTCGTGGGTCCCAGGAACAGTAGGTCGGACGAGTTCCGCGGCAACTGGCGTCTGTGGAATGATGTCGCAGGCAGAACATCCAAGCAATAGACGCATGGCAAGGAAAAGATGAGCAGCATGGAGACAAGAGTTTGATAAGCGAACACAGGAACGTTGAAGTGACAAAACCAAAAATTAATGACGAGTGGGAAACGTTTGTTGATGCGATAGCAGATAAATGTATGTTCTCTTCGCCATCTCGTAATCAAACTTTATGCTCTGATTGATGCAGTTTGCCTGATATTCGTGGGCTGATGTGATAATGCAGTGCAATAATGGGACTACATGTACATGATTGTACAATGTAGTACTGTATATATGAGCCAGCACACGCGAAAATCACCCTTAGTGACATATTTTCAGAAACTCAGATGACAGTGGATAAAGGCAGATGGATTTATGCAGAATTAAATGCAAAAAAACGTTTGAAAAAATCTTGAGTAAAACTTGAGTTACGGGTCTTAGAAGATAGAGCATTTTCCCTGATATATCGCACATCACGCGAAAACAGAGAATGTTTGAAGTGCGTCTCTCAGTTTGAAGTGCGTGTCACTAAGGTCGATTTTCGCGTGCGCTGGCTCACATGGTATACATGGCAGTGTCTTGTATGAATCACGCATATACATTGTACATTCTAAAATGTATACAGTTTTCACTAGAAATTCTTCTTGTTTTTTCCTTGGCTTTTGTTTTTTTTTCGCCCGCCCGCGTACCTTTTGTTAAGATTTGCCGACGAGAAACATAGAAAAAACAAAGTGTGGCCTTACGGTAAAAAGCAGAAATTTTCGGTGGTGTTATATTTTCGGTAATTTCGGTGCCGAAATTTTTACCGAAAATAAAACGCTCCGAAATTTTCGGTACAGTACTAGTACACTTACCTGGAAAACGGGTTTACCGAAAATTTCCCTCCACCGAACCGCCGACTTTGGAGAATACCGAAAATATTACGCCACCGAAAATTTCTGCTTTGACAGTGTACAAGTATTACTATTGGTTGTGCTGTACTTAGCTGGAATACATGTATGGGTGAAACTGCTAAATTTGGATCGTGTGTGTGTGTGTGTGTGTGCACGTGTGTGTATGCGTGTGTCTGCTTGTGTGCGTGGGGCCGTGTGTGTTGGCACATGTGCGCATGCAATGGCTGTGCAGCTCTGGACTTATCGGATGAAGAAGTCGACGTCGGTTCCGGTGAGTGCAGGTTTTGCCAGCCATGGGTCATCGGCTTATTGTTACAAGAATTAGTGTTCACCTAAATAGCCCTCCTCCCAGGCAGAGGAGCTAGTAAGAGTTGAGACGGGTGACAAGGTCGACCAACGAAAGAATGCCATAATTAGAGAGGTTCTGCAAAACAAAAATGTGTACGAACTTTCGCTCTACGTCACGAAGTGAGAAACTTCGCACGAACTTTCGCAACTTTGGACGCGAAACTTGCAGGGAATGCGAAATGAACTTTCGTAGGAAGTTTCGTGAGATTGGGTCATGTCGTACGTGCACTTGGCGCGTGCAAACTACGAAAATGTGCAGAACACAAAGTTCGTGCGAAAATTCGTACACATTTTCGCAAGGCCTGTCGCGAAACTTCGTTCGAATTTTCGTTGTGCAGAACCTCTCTACTATTATGGACATGTGGTGTGATGTTCCGCTCACTCTGTTCATGCACTGCTCATTCTACTATGGTCATAGTTATCTCAGCCATTCTTGTACAGTGTAGCAAGAAGGAGCCACGGGTGTGTGTGATCCCCGGTAGCCTGGTAGGTAGTGCACTGTTCCGGAAAGACAGGCGTGCTGGGTTTGAATCTCGCCTGCGTATCCTTCTTTTCCAACATGTTCATGCTATTGCCAGGGTTCTCGCCGAAGCGAGGCGCTGCGCCCTTCTTCACTTTTTAACCCCCCCCCCCCCTCAAAATGTATACACCACCCTTCAGACTGCGAGCGCCACCTTTTTTATATGCATGATAAGTACACCGCATACGGTAGCACAGCATAAAATGGCGGCACAAAGTGGCGGTAAAAATCACAAAATGTTTGTGTCCTCTGATCCCCGCCACCTTCACTCTATTTTGCTCTAGCTAACACCCTGATTGTTCTCAGACTTATATAGGCACATGTACTGTAAGGCGACAAATTTTCGGCCCATTCAATTTTCGGCCTCCCAGGGCTGCAACACCTTTTCGGCCTGTACTGCTGCTGCCTGTATACACTGTCACACTGAACCTTGCAAAACAAAATTTCCGGCTGCAACAAATTTTCGGCCAAATATGATCAGGCCGAAATTAGCCGAAAATCAATATTCACCGAATATTTGTTGACTTACAGTACTGTTTTACTGTCCTGGTTATGTCCAGCTTCGGATGCTGGTTTGTCATCGCATGGTTCCTCCTCGAACCCCTGGCCATACCAGGGTAGCGATGAGGAGACACGTGACCAGTCGCACCTTGCTCCACCGCCGTCTGCTGCAAGGCACCCATCGGAACTGCCCCCGCCGCTCAGCCCAATCCTGGAAGAAAGTCCACGGACGAATGCCGGCGCTTCCCGGGCTAACCTGTCGGCCACGCGTATCGACTGGGATGTCGGTGCCAAACCTCGTTCTCTCGGTAAGGCTAAGTGTGCATGTGTGTCTGTCTGTCTGTCCGTCTGACTGTCTGTCTGTCTGTGTGTCTGCCTAGAGTAAGTTGGTGACGATAACGATGACGATGGCAAAACGGCTCTGTGCGTCTTGCTGTGAATGAGTACTGTATGTCAGCGCCTTTCAAGCCATGGCCTTATATTCAAAACACCGCTGCTTTCCCAGATAATATAGATGCAAAATGACTCATCCACTAGGCCATGCCATAAAAGTTAAAGTCCACACAGAAATTTCAATCTAAATCTACTTGTTCGCCCTTCCTGCTGGGCTGTAAGTTTGTTAGCATAATACTTATTCCTTAATTTTTACAAAACATACTTCAAATGTCATTTCATTTATGAAGCCCATGGCTTTATAACTGAGACTGACTTTATAATCGAATATAACGCCATGGCTTTAAAGGTGCGGACATACGGTATGTGT